ATGAATGTTCAGAGTTGTGTATTTTTCCCCTGCTTCCAGATGTTTCTTTTACTTATTTCATTACACATACAAAACCAAATGATCTTACACAGTTCTGCATGAATTAAGATACACAGGTAGATGGTACAAATTGAACACATCTCTTACATTGTGTTTGAAATGCTTTAAAAAATCTCAAGTAAATATCTCAGTTCTTTCTGTTACTGTCTGTTGTGTCACATGAGGCAATCCTGCAGCAGACAGCATGTAAAATAGCATTATTAAAGACTTCTGGAGATTGAACAGCTATATCAGCAATTTTGAAGCTGGAAGAGTGAGTTGTTCATAGGGTGTAATGGCCTTTTAAGTATGTAGTGCTTATTATTCAGTGCCAGTTGAATATTTAGATTTTGAACATGGGCTGAAAAATCTGATATTAAACACCTGAGAATACTTTCGGGAAATGTTTTCTTTCTTTCTTGGAAATAGTTTACCATGATTGCAAGTGAACTATAAAGAAAATACATTTTGTCTTCCTGGACAGTCCTGAAAAATTGGACTTCAGTCTTGTCTCTTAGTTATTTTTTGTGAATTTCTGTACTGGTTATAGTTTCTTTACTGGCTATAGTCATTCTTTACTAATAGGAAGCATGCAGTAGTTATTTAATATTTTTTAAATGTTTAGAAGTTCCAGAGGACTTTGCAGAAATCTTTTGTTAAGTCCTTCAGGAAACAAATATTTGAAAATCTTTAAGAGTACTCCAGGGCATTTAACTAGATTTCTTGACTGTCCCTTGAAAGTGAGAGTAGGGAAAGCAGTCAAAGAAGAGCATGCTAATCATGGTTATATCTACAGTTTGAGAGAGCAAAGATTCCCTCTGAGTTCTTGCATAGCCAAGGAGCTGAGCTAAATCTGCCAGGGCAACAAGGAGGAATTTTGCTTTAAGGACTTTTCTAGTTCAAAAGTGTAATGCAGCAGACATGGCTGTTAATGGATTGCTGACCTGAAAATTTAAACTCCCTTTAATAGTTCTGTATTTTTAAATCATAATATTTGTGTCTCTTATTGCACTTTTCTGCCAGTGTATATAAGTATTTTATTGTAATTTTTTTTCTTCAAAATACGTGAATGCAAAGAAAGAGCAGCTTTCTAGGCTTGCTTTTTTTCTTGTCCTGGAGAAAAGCTGATATTTGCCAATTAGGCAACTACTTAAAGAAGTAACTATGATCTGAATTGTCTTTCTGTTCCACAGATGAGGAGACACTCCTGCTTTGTTTTTTTGTTCTGTGGGATATTTTTGCCTGGAATCCTTGGTTTTCCACAGACAAATACTTCAATTGATTGTGATTCTCTGTTACCAAATTATGAAGTTGAACCACAGACATCTGCACCACCATATATTATTGCTGTATCTTTTGATAACTTTGAGCCAGGAAATGAAGTCCAAGGTAAACAATCTGAATGACATAAAATCTTTGTCCATGACTTCCAGAATTACCAATCTTCATAAAAATCCCCTCATTTCCCTCTCAGTCTAGATAATTTATTTTTTAACTTCAATCTTGTTCATATACACCTGGGATACTATATTTTATGTTTTATATCTGTATGGACATATTTGTATAACTGAATATGCATTCCTTCTTTCTTTTTTCTTTATCTAATAAATATATCTTAACTTTATGCTGTAATTTTTTTATGACAAAATTAAAATTGAGTGGGACAGCTAGCCAAACTGGACTAATAATTAGTTGCTTGTTAACTTTGTATTTGATTATTTGCTGTTGAATCAGGCCTCTGCAATACAAAGGGATCCTACTCATTAGTTCTTCACATGCTGTCATCCTTCAGGAAAATAGACATTCAGGACGCAGTACGGGGCTACTTAGGAGTGATACATTTTGAGTCACCCTTCTAAGAGCTGCTTCCCAGATTTTATCACATTGCAGGAGGTGGAGCTATTGTGGCTTAAACCCTCTTTTTGTTTTCCTAATCCCAAATTGCTCTCTGGATGGAGCACCTTCACAGCAGGGCCACTGCCCTTTTGGTAGAGCAGAATTCCTTTTGAACTTGTCAGTAAATCATTAATTCCATGTTACTTTACAGAGAAGAACCTTTCCAAATGTTTTCCTTTACCTTTATTGTCATTCCCCTTACAATTAAGAAAGGTGTTTTAAATTGCACAGGGCTTAAAGCAATTTCTGCACTGTGCAGAATTCTGCACAATGCAATCTTGTGTCTTGGAGTGAAGCAAATTGCATGGCAAACATTTGGGCAGTTTTGGTGGTATATGAAATTTACATTTCTCAAAATGCCTCTTTTCACAGTAACTCTAGAAGCACTTGGAGATGCTGGGTTTAAAGGATTTAATCTACAAGCTCGAGAAATAGATGGAGATGTTCCTGTTGGTACTTTTAAAATTACAGATCCAAACACTAAAGGCTTGGAGTGCCATAACATGACGGTATGTGTGTAGTCTTTGGAATACTTACTGGAGCTTGGGTTTCTTTAAAATAATAGAAGTAAGGATCATTTTTATACAGCAAAGCTATTTCTTCAGTAGAGTTTAAAAGGTTAGGTTTTCTCAAGAACTTCATCTATCCTTTATATGCGATATGAACTTAATATAGAAATTCACTGGCTCTCTGTAGCAGGACATCAGTGTTACCTATTGTAGTAGAGACAGTTTCTGTAATATTATAGCTAAAAATCACTCTTACATCTTATATAATTATATGTATTTCTTTTTAATTGCAGAATTCAGCAGTGAGTAATGCCAATTCAGATGTGAAACAGAAGGTTACAACAACATGGATTGCTCCACATGATATTAGAGGAGAGCTTCAATTTATGTAAATAGTTGTTTTTCTTTTTTTTCTTTGCCTTGAAATTTTCCTTCTGTATTGAGATAGACCTGTGCTGCTGTTTGAGATATTCTTGTCCAACTTAGTTTTTTTCATAGTTTGCCATAACTTCACACTATGTTCATTAAATTATTTCCATTTCAAAATATAGTTGTAAAAGTTATTATCCTAAAGATCTTAATAACTGTAAATAATTCCATTAAGCATAATGTAATTAATGGATCTTCAAGTTGCCAATTTTTACATTTTGAATTCTTTAATTACAACAGCAACAAAATATGAATGTAACTCCTTCCCTGAAAAAATGAAATTCAGACCTATTCAGTGATACATTCCTTCATTTTGAACGGTGGTAGTATAGTAATTTGATGTAAATTCTTCTAATATAAATTTTTAAATAAATGTATGACCTATGAACTAACTTCTGAAAACATGAGAAGACATATTTAGCCTACTTTTAATGCTTCATTTCTTGCAGATGTGAACCTTATAAAAACATCACCTACTCTAACAAATGCATGCTTGAAGTATATTGGAAAATACCTAAACATTCAATAGCTTGTATTGTTTGAAGTGCAGATTTATGATAGGGCCACCTTTGCCTCGCTTCATTAAAACTTGAGGAATACCAAGAGCAGGCAAAAGAATACAAAACCACAATTGCTTCCACTCATTATTGCCATGAGAATCAGTTCACCATCATAGATCAGATTGTCAGAGCGTGTGGGACAATTCTTAGGGACATTTGAGCCAATGCTCCTCACTGGTGCCAGAGCTTCTTCAAACAGCGTCTATCCCTCTTCTGCTTGTTCTCAGCATCTGTTTGAGTTATCTTCAGAGTTATGCTGGATGATAATACAAGCCACTAGAAGGAAAAGTATTCTGTGAAACTTGTACTGTATAAACTTAAAACCAGGACACAGTGGATATTCTTGGCTGGGGGCAAAGGGGGACAAGAGTTTATTAGTATTTTATAATTAAATACACTGATAGAAAATAAATTATTTTGTTTCCTCTAGTGCAACTGTTGTTCAAAATCTAGAGAACTTTTGGGTTGGAATTCAAAGCAAAACTCTCACACCTATGCTTTCTGAGTCAGTTAATGCAACAGGAAAAAGCAAAAGGAAGGTATGTTTTAGTGTATCTGAATGATAGAAATTAATACAGTAATTAAAGTATCTTTGTCTTGACACAAGATATACACTTGTTGTCATTTAGTCCTTAACTAAGGCAAAACCGTTAGATGTTTTCAAAAATTTCCTTTTAACTGCATAATCCTCTTATAAAAATGATGAAAAAATACATTTAATACTCTTTTTCTCTACAGAAATGAGGAAAGTAATTATCTATCAAAACAATCCATGTCTTAAGGCAAAAAAAAAAAAAAGAAAATAGAATTGGTTATAGAACTGTACTGTACTTCTGATGTACAGTGCTGTTCTTAACTGCTGCCTCAGCCCCTGGGAGCTGTAACTGTAGCATCTTCTTGAAAGGAGTTGATAACTTTTTTTTTGCCAAGAATTATGCTTCTTTGAAACATATCAAACATTGGCAGCTCAAGTAAAGTCTCAAATCTACTATATTGGACTGCAGCAGCAGTGATTTATGTGAACTTGTGATGTAACCAAGAGTGAACACCTGTCTTAAATCTCTCAGTTCACCAAATGTATTATCTGTTTCCTACAATAAACTGCTTTTTTATCCCCAGTGAATAACTTGGTAATGCTTCCTCTTTTGTTTTTTTCCCCACAGCTTATGATAGAATTGGAATGTAACAAGGTAAGAGCAACTTTTCTTCAATTTCCCAACTTCCAATTACCTCAGTTTTAGAGTTCTTCTTCTAGTCCAGTTGTTTCATGCTTGTAGCATGAAGATTCTATTGTACCATTCAAATTACTTTCCTAGCAAGATGTCATTTATGCTTTCATTTTTTTATTCAGTTTTGAATGTATTTTTATTTTGCATTAGTTAACATCAGTTTGCAAATGAGATTGTTAAAATGTGTAATATACTGTCAGCAATTAAAAACTTGATTTCTTCACTCAGACCATCAATGTGAATTCAGTTGATTTCCTGTTTAAAACAATTTGATATTTTTACACCAGTCAATAAACAGTAACTGGAACCTGTATTCTCTTGCAGCGTGGAGGGACTTACTCAACAGGCCGATGCATCATGGTAAATATTCCTTCTCCAAAGACATTGACACACTGCTAACTGCCCAAGATAATCAAGGCCTAGTCAAAAGTTACTGCTAGACATGTTCTTATCCCCCTTGTAACTCAATTTAATTTTCTTTTTGTTAGTTTATCTTTTTTGATTAAAAATCCAAAACTGTATAAACACCTGTCAGCCTTGTTACCATCTCCTTCTGCAGATTCTCTCTGCTAATCTGTAGTAGCTCTATAATAGAAGTTTTCTTTTTGCTCTTTTCACTCTTTATTCTTAGTGTTTTCTTGCTCTTCAAGATCATTATTTACTTGCCTTCTGCAAATCATGATCTAAATATAAAATATAGCTATTTGATTTTTTTCCTTTGAAAACTTTCACTGGCAGCTCAGTGAAGAAGCCTCTTTTCCTTCTTTGCTTTTTTACAACAAATATGTAAATGATTACATAGTCGTGTTAGTAAAAAGCTTTGATCTGCTTTTTAATGATTGTGGTGGTGTAGATCTCTTCAATGATGCACATCAAGTGTGTGAGGTCAAATAAAAAGGATGCAAGCAGCAGAATTATATTATTTATAACAGCTGGATGGGCACAGTGTTGATTATTTGTCTTGAAAGAGCTTTGAAATAATTTTATTAGTATCAGTGGAATGAAGTAATAGAAAACTACTTTGTGGGTTCTTCCTTTTCCCACCAAGTAGAATTTTCTTTTCTGAAAATCACTTATTTAAAATAATTTTTCAGCAAGATAGTAAATACCAGTCTGGCTTCTTTTCAGGTTGGACCTTCCGGTTCCTCTCAGAGCAGCTATTCAGGCAGTCAGGTATGAGTCCCAAATTCCAGCATTTGTGTGTTTTCCTTCAGTAACCTTGAATGACTAAAATTCTATTACATTTACTGCGCTGAAATATCTTCTTTGCTAGTTAGCCCAGAATGGCAGAGGTGTTTATCCAGCAAACAGTGTGTTTGTACCTGGGCTAAGTTCACTATCTCCACTCTCTTTTACTCAATAGGTTGCTCCAGTTTAATGTCTGTATTGCTTTTAGTACTGGACTATATTTTTCAGTTGAACATTTGGGGCTATCACTGTCTAGTTAGCCTTTTAAAACTTCTGGGGTATGCATGTCTGCATTGTCACCACTTTCACTTCATTCATCACAGCAATGTATACTTGGTTTTTAGTTGATTATCTCCACTACCATTAATATGCCTATTTTCTCTTTAACTCTTAGATACTTTCTGGTGAGTCTCCAGTTTCTTGAATTGAGATTATCAAGGACATATTTCTTACTATTTACTAGTGGTTATATAAATTAGTGAATTATCTGGTAATATTCCATTTCTTCAACATTTACTGCTTGTAATGAATTACCAGATACAGAGAAATACAAATTATTTTGACACATATGCTAACACCTGGTTTTCTTCCTTGTATTTTTTTAATATCTAATATATATTCTTTTGTAAAAGTTGATTTTCTCATCTTGTCATATAACTACTTGAAGTTATTTTTTTTCCAGTAATATTTTGAAAGATTTCATGACCAGTGACAAAGCTGATGAAACTTACATGAAATACAGATGATGTCTCACACTATATTAAAATCATTATATAGGCAGTGCCAGTGAACTTGTAACCTCATTACTTGCTTATCCCTTGCTTGCATATACTCATTGTCAGCTGCACAGCTTTTCATGCCATAAATAGCATGGCATTGGGCTTTTTCTCTCTTACCCCTTTGAGATTTTTATATTAAATAATTGACTTCTGTTTTTATTTCAGGGTGGAGTAGTCTACACAATAAGCAAGAGTGGATGTGGCCCTGTAAGCACTATTTTTACATTTTCTTTTTGTCCCCAGCACAACTATATTCATAGTAACTCCTAGCTTTCAATGACATTATTTAAATAATGTTCATTGGGAGTCTCTGCTACAAATAGAAAATACTGATGAAAAATAACTGGTTTATTTTTTGTCTTAGGGAGGTGCTGCTGGTGCCTATGGTATACATGCCTGCAGAGATGTAAGCTGATTATATACGTTTTTACTGACTGTTTCCTACTGTGCTTCTTAACTCATCTCCTTACTGAAAATTGCATTTGATTCTGTTCTCCAGAGCTACTGAATTCTTCCTAAATATGTTCAGGATAATACTGTTAGCTTGAGGTATTATTCTGAAATTAAATCCCAAAATTAAAAGATGTCACACTGCCAGTTCAAAGCCTAATAATTTATGTCTTAAGGTGTATATGTACAAATAGTTGATACACAATATCACCTAGTAGAAACTCTTAATTTGTTTCCCTACTAAAATGTCAGAATTCTTACTGTGTAATGCTTTTTATCAGGTAAAATTATTTTCTTTGGATATTTTGGAATATTATTAGGGGTTCTTTACAATCTTTGCATATTAATTCTTTAACTAATTTCTATTGTCCATCTCATTTATTTCTTTTTCACATGAAAACTAATTAATAATTAGCAAATTATTGTATAAATAAATACCTGATTTATATTTTTATTTCAGAGTGCATCCTTATCCAGCAGTGGGATTAGTTATGGCCAGGTAACTGTATTTTCCAACATGTTTTTAGCTTCCTAAGGTATTCAAAAGCTAAGCAGTTATGCCCAAATTTACCAAGCAATAATTAGACTTGTGGAAGGGGATAAAGGAAAACTCTCTTCAAATGATTTAGTAATGATCATACCTGAAAATAACTTCATCAGATGAATGACATAGTTGGTGTTTTTTGCTGTATCCTTACTTCTATTTTCCACCAAAATCAATTATATTTATTCTATAAATGGACACCAGTTACTTTTACTATGCTTTTCCAAAAGGCAGTGCTTTGTTTGATGGTTTCTAAGAATTAAAAGGTCTGGGTTGTTTTTTGTTTTTTTTTTTTGTTTTGGGTTAGTGTTTTGGATGAAAGTACAAGAGCTCAATTTTTTTTTCCTACTGATAGATTTTTTTTCCCTACAAACAAACTTCCAATTTGATTAAATATTTGCAGCTTTTATACAGTACTTACTCTGTAAAATTAGCAAAATAATTGGACTTTTTCAAAACAATTTCAAGTAGTTGATTTATTGCAGCTGTTAATTTATTAACTGCCAATACATTAATTTTCTTCTGATTTTACTTTTTTTGGTGCTTCACGACTATCATATTAGTATGATATTCTTGTGGAAAATAGTGCTGTAGTTAATTTGCCATACATTTAAGTAACAAATGAATTCTGTATTTTTTACAGTCTGTCCCTTCAAGCAGTTCAGATTCCAGTAAGAAGGTAAGCACTCCTGTTCAAAGGGAAAAATTCTTAGTTATAACTTGGCATGGCTTCTGTTATTTCAGTCAAGAGATTTCAAGGCTTTAATCCAGATTGATTCATATGATTTGGTTTGGTTCTTAGAGGCTGAAAGGGCTTCTAATGAGAGAACATTAACACAGCAGAAGATACAATTATTGAATTTGGCTTATGTTGGATTTATTTTAAATGAACTCATTATCAAGTCTTTCTCATTTTTTATCATTATACTGAATAAAGACACAATAAATTAATATTCTAATTTGGGGTGGAAAGTTGAGGATCAAAAAAGGGCCCACAGTACAGGCAAGTAGATATGGTACAGGGCAGGAAATCCTGCTTCTGCCTCTACACCTGTGTCATTATGTGGCTTGGGGCAAATAGTTTATCTGCTTATACTCTTGTGTAAACTGTGTATAAATAGTTTGAATAGTCATTCTTTGTTTGGTAATGTGCATCAATTTTTTTATATAAATGCCATTTTATAAAAGGGACCTTCCATGGCATTATTATCAGAGTTTGTAAATTTACATATTTTAGTATTCTTCATTTTTCTGACATATTTAGCAATATATAAATAATCTTTATGGTAAGTAAATAGCTTCCTCTGGTTTCTCCATAGGTAGTGGTCGTTGCCAACAGCAACCCTTTCCCACCTGTGGTAAGCTGTTTTTCTCTACACATTTTCCCTACAAATAACTTTGACCCAAAAAGCTTTCAAATATCAATATTTTTAATTTTAAGAAATATTCCTGGAGACAATTTTTTGGCAGGCAGGATTTACCCTATATGTATAGCTATCTTCAGGGAAGATGTGTTACAAGATAGGTACAAACCTCGTGGTTCTGTGATTGCTGTTAATGCTTTAGGGACAATGGATTAGCTGCAGACACCAGGTCTCTCCATCTATGCAGTCTCTGTGTTCCCACATAGTTTTGATTTTCTGTTTCTATTGCAATTTTCTTCTGTAAGTTTACGTCTATTCTCACTTTTAAATTATTACATTTCCACTCTGCTTACTTGGAACTAAAAGTAAGTTTAGCCTTCAGGTGCTTGAAATGAACTTTTATAATGTAATATTTTATATATGTTGAATTTCTAATAGAACATGTTGTTCTAACTTGAATAAAGGTTAAGATGCATTTATTCATGCCATCTTTTTTATATCATTCTTTCACATTCCACTATGTATTGCATCTGAAATATAAGGGCCCCTTTTCCCTTTCTCTGCTGCAATATTCTGTTTGGGCAAGCCCTTGTGCAAAATAATGAAAGATTTTTCTGTTTCTTTGCAGCGTCACACCTTCCCTCAGGTAAGAATACTTTTTCTTTTGATTCCTATAGGATCATTATAGTTCTTATGGGATCAAACCAGTTGTCTCAGGATGGTGTGTGCTACTCTCTCAAGTTTGTCCCTCATGCCTCAGAATTCAGCAAAAAATGCCTGGATGAGGAAGAGGATCTGTATGGGTTGATGTATGTGCAGTGCAGGTGACAGTGAGACAGATTGGAGGGTGATGATGTCTCAGCTTCCCTCCCCACATTTGGAAACCCCAAGCTGACTGCTAGTGCAGAAAGATGGTGCACATAACCTGTGCTCTGCTGCTCTCCACAGAAGATGTAAGACTAGAAAATTACTTAGGGTAATAAGTAGGGTCAGTCTGCCTCTCCAAAACTTCAGAACTGAGAATAAACTAGCTTAATGCAAGATGTTTAGAACTGGTACACAGTACATCACACATACAACCTTTCCCTTTATTCTCACAAACTAAATACTTCAAATAAGTATTATCTGTTTAAGTGTATTTCATTAAACAAGTCAATTAAATGTGCTATATTATATGTCTTTGTTTCTGGATTTTTTTTCAGAGTTTGGGAAGCTCTGCTACAAGGATCATAGTACAGGTAGACATTTTTTTCTCAATTACACTGGAATTTTCAATGAAGATTTGCCTTAGTAAATTAAGTAATAATTCCTCTCTTAGGGAACACATAAGTTCCCTAAGGATAGCTTAGGGAATAAGCTAACTTAGATGTATAACTTAGAGATGTCCACAAACTACAGTGGTGGGTTAGGGCATTTCTGTGACTACAGCAAAGGGGATATCTTAACTGGTTGCTGAATAAAGACTATTGCAGCTGTTTTCTACACATAAAAATTTTAAAACCTCTGTATGCAGATTCCATTGTGCTCTCAAAATTGGCAAAATTTGACCGTCTCAATCAGCTCAAGAAGGAGGATGGAATTCCAGAACTAAAGCTGAATGTTACTCGGTATAAAATCAAATATAAATTGCAACCTGCACAGTTCCATTTTTATTTAAACAGTCCATTTTTTAATGGAAACACCCAACTCAGAATTACATTTTTTAAATCCTGCTGTTAGTGCCCAGGTGAACTGTTGCATTTGTAATGTTGTTTCTTGACAATCAGGCACTTGGAAAATTGATTGCAGTCTAATCTCACTACAAGCATGATTATAAAGTATTATGAATACCATTCAGACATATTTTTTGGGTTGTTTGTAATTTTAGCATCTGTCCCACTCTTAGTCAGTCCATTAGATGCCAGTCCATCAGACTACAACAACTAATTCTCACTTTCATTGAAAGATCAGTAGCAGGATACCCCAGCTGAAATTTGTCTTTCCAAAACCATTGCTTTCAAAATGTACAACATTATTTTCTTCCATGACTTGTGGTGAATGCTGGCAAAGAAAGGAATATGATTTCCTTGTTATTTTATTTCTGACTTTAAATGTACAGTGTTTTGATTACACAGGCTAACTGTTTTCAAAGTGTAAATATAAACAATACAACAATACAACAATATAAACAATATTCCTCTCATAATCTACATATTTTCTTGGAATAAAAATATTTTCTGCAGTGGTTTCTCCTCATTGTAACTGTGGATTTTTCAATTTTTGTTTAGGCAGAGCCTTTGTCAAAAATTTGTTGTGCTTATTAATGAAAAGAAATCAGTCATTATGTGAATACAAATAGATATGGGTTTAAGGCAATTTGTGAGGTACATTTGAAAGGCAGAATTATTAAAACTCACTTCAAATACCACAATATGACACAAAGATGTATTATAAAATTAATTTTCATTAAGAAAATCATATCAAGATATATAAATACTTTTAACATTTCATTTGTGTAGGAGTTTTAGATACCTTTTCTAGCACATGGAGACAGCATAGAGTAAGAAAAAGTGTAATGAACTCTTTGTAGCCTTCAAACTGTCTAGTAGGTAGAAGGACAGAGTTGCTTCTTGAACTGGCTTCATGCATAAGCAATTCCTCTTAAAAATAAATAATCTTTTTTTTTGTTCCTATGTAGAGTGGACAAAAACAGCAAACCAGCAGCAGTACTTATATTCATGTAAGTAAACTTAAAAAGTGTTATAAACATTCCTATAGACTTCACTAAAACAGGGGCAGCACAACTTACGAATAAATTATTTTCTGTGTTTAAACATGGATTTCACAGGTGCAGGTATTTCTATTTCCCAGGCTTTTGTTCATGAAAATGCCATCTGATATTGGTATTCAAATTATTTTGGTTTTGATGCTCACAAATGCATTTCTATGTGTGATGGGTTGGCATGAAATGAGCGTATTCCACTAAGAGCATAAGGGTCAAGGCCCTGAGAGGAAGCGATTCCAGGCTCATTACCACCAGCCCCATACTGATAGATTCAGAGCCCATGCATATTAGACCTCAAATTCGAAAAGTTGTAAAGGGTAGTTGCTGAGCCATATCAAAAATGATGAAAAATCATAATCATGGAACTATGTGCAATGCCTTCCAGCATTGCTTAAAGCCATGAAGAAAAAGCTACTTGTGTGGAAAAAAAAAGTGAGGGAATTCTAGAAAATACTCACACAATGGCATCATAAATTATTGCAAACTAAAACTTGAGAATATTCATCGTATGAACTCAAGAATAAAGGCTCTTTAGGTCTTACTCCTCTTGGGGGCTGGGGGTAGGAGGGATGCAAAAGTCCATCAATATTCTCTGTAGCACTACCTGCAACTAGAAAACTGTTTCAAAAGGGTAGCTATGGGATTTAGGGATCAGGGCCACAGGAAGGCTACTAGTCAACATCAAGAGTATTCAATACGCACAAGGTTGGCAGTCATGGCTTCTGATGAGAATAGGACAATCTATTTCAGGGCTGTTAGCATACTGCTCTGTGTCCTTTGTGCTTTTTTGAGAAATCCCCACAGAGCTTCCTTCCTAGAAACATCATGCTCTTTAAAAAAGGCTCCTTGTCCAAGTGGTAATTATCTCCTCTTTGTTTAAAGGGCTCCCAAGGCAGCCAGTCCTATGGCCAGGTGAGACTTTGTTGCTGAAATGTGTTGAGCTTTTCTGTAGGAGCCGCTCTTGTTTTTTTTACCTTACTAATGTTTTTGAGTGGTCCATGTGTTTAGTTTGTACCACTGAAATACCATGAATCAAAAAATAACATAATACAGAGGAGCTTTAAGAGGAAGTGGATATTTCTGTTACTGCTGTAGTAAAACAAAATAACTTTGTTAATAAATGACTTCTTACCTTCCTTACAGGGCTACAGACCCCAAGGTGGCAGTTCCTATGGCCTGGTAAGCATCAGTCAGAATAGAGCATGTCAGAATTGGCACTATAAAGGCACTTAGCAAACCCTCAGAATTTAAACTTTAAAGGACATTTACTCTGAAAGTGTCAATCCTCACTCAACATCTATGCAAGTGCTACTCATTGATCTGGAATCCCAGTGTGTGAAATCATCACTCAGCATCCTCAGGAGGGCCAGGAGATGCTTGGCTCTGCACTCTGCCCTGCATGGCTTTAGGATGTAGTTGCTTGCTGTTGCTAATGCAGGCTGGACCCCTTACTGAAAGGGAAGTAACCAAATGGTTTCCTTGTCTTAGGGTGGACCAAGTTTCTCAGGTGGCAGCAGCTCCTATGGCCAGGTAAGCAAACTGGCTGCTCTGTAGAAAGTTCTTCACTGATCTCTCTGAGACTGGCATGACTGGAAGACTTTTGAGAGTAGTGTTTCCCTTGGCAGTCTGTGGGCCAATTTGGGCCACAGCTTCTGCAGAGAATAAGAAAATGTGCTGCACAGATGCACAGCTGTTAGCACACTGCTCTGTGTCCTCTGGCACAGGAAGAACCTTTTAGGGAATCCCACATGCAGCTGTTATTGCCATAGATATCATGCTGTAGAAAGAAGCCTCTGCCAAGGTGGTAATTATCTTCTCTTTATTTAAAGGGCTCCCAAGGCAGCCAGTCCTATGGCCAGGTGAGACTTTGTTGCTGAAATGTGTTGAGCTTTTCTGTAGGAGCCTGTCCTGCAGCCATGGGCTTTGGGACATGGGTGGTTTTTTCCTTCAGGGTGTTTCTGAGTGGTTCTTGACTTTGGTTTGTGCCACTGAAATACCATGAGGGGAAAAGTAACATAGGTGAGAGGAACCTTTAATGGAAATGGGCTTTTCCCTCTGGTATTCTGTGATTCTGCTTCTTCTGTGCTGGGACTACACTTACACAGCTCTTTTTACAACTGACTCTGTGCCTTTCTTACAGGGTTCTCAGCCTCAAGGTGGCAGCTCCTATGGGCAGGTAAATGTTAGTTGGAATAGAACATTTGAGAAAGTGAAGTGCCATTGCCCTGAAAAGTTAACAAATTTTAAAATATTCTTTCTTCAATTCACATTAAATTCTTAACCAATGTATTTCTGAATCCATTTCAATGGGTTTTTTTGAACATGACCATTGTGTTTTTCATAGATATATGCATGAATCCTAGATTTCTGCTGCTATCTTATCTTTTCCACAGGTGTGGAACTTTATAAATTTATCGTAGAAATAGTCTATTTGATGCTGTTCTCATTGCAATTGATGGTATAATACAAACTTATTGTCAGTTCTTTGCTGTCTGCTTTGCTGTCAGTAGAGAAGTAGCGTTGAGAAATTAAAGAACCTTGAGTCAGATTTTCAGCTGAATGAAGAATTTATTTTGGAGCCTGCAACTAATGAATGTTGACCTCCCTTCACAGTTTTTATGTACAATAAAGCAGCCGTAAGATAGCTATGGGTTTTGTCAGGATCTCTATGTCAGATAGCAAAAATAAACAGCATACTTCAAATACTTTTTGGTAATTCCTGTCTTCATAAACCTGCCAGGCAGCTGTGGAGCAGGTCTGCAGGTACATGAAACAACTGCACTTTTTCAAGATTATATTAAAGGCAGATTACAACAGCAAATTATAACCACAGTAATTTTATATTAATGAGAATTTTTTTAAAAAATACAGTCATCCCTGGTTAATTCATTTGACCTGCTACTTTGAATTGCATTGTTTTGTTTCCATTTTATGAAGCTATATTTTTTCTAAGATTGTCTTAATTTTTTAAAATTACTTTTCACCTTAATTTTCTCTCAGATGAAGGGAATTATGCAATTGGGGCCAATGGAAAATACAAATACATTAAACTAATATTCACTTATTATTCAGCATTAGCCATCCAAGCCCAGTGTCTGAAAAAAAGAAGGAAAAGTAAACATAATAAGAAAATGTTTTGTCCCTTCCTGAAAAACTCTCGTAAGATCAGAGTACTATCTGAGACAGATGTAAAATTACCCTATGATTGTCATTCAATAAACAGTGTGATCACTTATTTCTCCAGAATAAGAAATATCAAAATAAGTCTAGTTAATCAGTAGAGTCTGTACATTCTCTTATTCTGTGTTCTTACCCTAAAAGTAGACATTAGAGAGGCAACAGCTTCACAAATATAGTAACTGTGAATCAATCATTCATTTCACACAGGGGTACCAGCCTCAAGGTAGCAGTTCCTATGGCCAGGTAAGCATCAGTCAGTCACCAGTCAGAATACAGCACTTCAGAATTGGCACTATAAAGGCACTTAGCAAACCCTCAGAATTTGAACTTTAAAGGACATTTACTCTGAAAGTGTCAATCCTCACTCAACATCTATGCAAGTGCTACTCATTGATCTGGAATCCCAGTGTGTGAAATCATCACTCAGCATCCTCAGGAGGGCCAGGAGATGCTTGGCTCTGCACTCTGCCCTGCATGGCTTTAGGATGTAGTTGCTTGCTGTTGCTAATGCAGGCTGGACCCCTTACTGAAAGGGAAGTAACCAAATGGTTTCCTTGTCTTAGGGTGGACCAAGTTTCTCAGGTGGCAGCAGCTCCTATGGCCAGGTAAGCAAACTGGCTGCTCTGTAGAAAGTTCTTCACTGATCTCTCTGAGACTGGCATGACTGGAAGACTTTTGAGAGTAGTGTTTCCCTTGGCAGTCTGTGGGCCAATTTGGGCCACAGCTTCTGCAGAGAATAAGAAAATGTGCTGCACAGGTGCACAGCTGTTAGCACACTGCTCTGTGTCCTCTGGCACAGGAAGAACCTTTTAGGGAATCCCACATGCAGCTGTTATTGCCATAGATATCATGCTGTAGAAAGAAGCCTCTTTGCCAAGGTGGTAATTATCTTCTCTTTATTTAAAGGGCTCCCAAGGCAGCCAGTCCTATGGCCAGGTGAGACTTTGTTGCTGAAATGTGTTGAGCTTTTCTGTAGGAGCCTGTCCTGCAGCCATGGGCTTTGGGACATGGGTGGTTTTTTCCTTCAGGGTGTTTCTGAGTGGTTCTTGACTTTGGTTTGTGCCACTGAAATACCATGAGGGGAAAAGTAACATAGGTGAGAGGAACCTTTAATGGAAATGGGCTTTTCCCTCTGGTATTCTGTGATTCTGCTTCTTCTGTGCTGGGACTACACTTACACAGCTCTTTTTACAACTGACTCTGTGCCTTTCTTACAGGGTTCTCAGCCTCAAGGTGGCAGCTCCTATGGGCAGGTAAGCATCACTCAGTCATTAGTCATTATTCAGCATCTATGTGATGCTCCCATATATGTATTGAGAATCCAGTGGTTTCTAACTTGAAACAATGTAGTAAGTATCTCTATAGAATTAAGTCCTGTGAACTGTTTTTCATATGGCTTTGGCAACAATTGGCTCACTGAAGCTGCACTTTTCCCTGTAGAAAGGAGTGCGTTCAGCTCTCAGCTTTCTGATGCACTTTGTTATTAAACATTCTTAGTATTTTACCAAATAATTTAGAGTTGGATATAGCTGGTCTTCTACCTTTGAAGCAGCCTGGCAGCTAAAGCCCTTGAAAATTTCCATCTGTGTTTGAAATGAGAAGAGAGAATGAGAATATTTGGATCATGAGCTGCTCTTTTTCTTTTCCCCAGCAGGGTGGATCTGCAGCTTATTTTGGCAGCAGTGGTTGTGGACAAGTAAGACTTTTTCTCCAAACTATTTGAAAACTAGACCCAGCTTTCTTTGCAATACTAACATGTTTTTAATATTTTTTATAATTTTTGTAGTTTGAAATCTATTGTTTTCATTGTTGCATGAACTCGTCTATCACAGAAGTCAAGAAAGGCTGATATTGATGGGCAATGTAACCAATATGAAGTGGCTGCTTCCATTCAGAGTTACACAGGGAAAACAAACAAGTGATTAATCTGTCTACTCATTGAATATATAAAGTCTTTGCTTGGGAATTTTTGGATGTTGCTCCATTTATTTTCTAGAAAAAAGAACAGGAATAGAGAGTGGCTGAAATGGAGCAATAATTACATTAGTAGTTTTCATCCTGGTTCCATTTTAACTTGTCTATGTCTACAGTGGTGTAAAAACAATATATTCAGTGATGAGATCCCAGGGGAAAGGATCATGGATGAGGCCAATAGTAAATATACATTTAAATAAATATATTGAGCAAAGCAACCAGAATGAGAGATAATCAGAGATACAGACATTTTAAGCAGTATTTAGCAGAAATACTAGGATTAATGTAAGTTAGGCATGAATGGAAATGCCTCTGAAAGCATCATAAGGAGCAGTACAGCAAGGACACTGTTACCAGCAATGGAAGTGATAAACACTGCAGAATATGTTATTTCCACTAAGCTGTGTCACAGGTTGACTTATCAAGAAAAGACCTGTACTGTAATAATGGGAGGGTGACAACCAGGGTAGAACCTTTTCTGTGTACTGTTCCTCATACTCTTATCACAAAATATACTCAAAACAGTCAAAGGATGGCTCTGAGCAGAAACCTTGCCTAAAATCCATGGTGGTGAATCTAGCAAGAGATTGATGGCCACATTTAGATAGATGGTCACCCAACAGTAACAGTTACTTCCAAAAAATCCCCACCCAGTTCTTCTTTACCAATCAAGAGGAGATCAAAGGATCATCCCAATCAAGGAATAATACAGAGAGACATCAATTACCACCCTACTGCTTCTACTGCTTTCCATGTAGCTCAAAAGTTTTCCTTTGATCATCTGTTTGAAAGTGTCTTGATGTTTGTATAGGGGTATGAGAGTGATAGAAGATAAAGCCACACACTTATAAGGTTAAGTAAAACTAAACTCACCCTCTGTAAAGTTATATGTTGAATTTTGTTACACTAATTCTCACATAGGAAATTTTAAGGAAATTAATTACTTTGCAAGAAAAATGGCATTTACTTTTTTGTCTGGTTGGTTTTTGACAGGGTTCCTCCTATGATAGCAACCCCTGCCACCAGGTAAATGGACTTTTATTTTAAGATGCATCCGAAATTAGTTTTGCCACTAACTCAAATAGTCCCAAATTCAGATTCATATTGCACAAATCCATGTAATCTTACAAATTTTGAGATTAGAACTCACTGTCTTCCTATACACAGGAGTATCACAGGGACTTTGGAGCCTTTTTTGCCCCTTTTTCCTAGCATTATATTTTGAAATGTCTAATTAAATAGGACATTAAGGCCAGATTCTGGGAAGAAGAAGTCTGCTTCAGAGTTACTTAACTGGCATGACTTAAATCAGGGCTGGAGCTCACCAGCCTCTCTTTTCCTATCAAAAGCCAGAAAATAATTTAGGACTTCACCTGAAGTCCCTGAAAAAAAGATTGTGCAGTGAACTTGTGTATCTACATGTGTATATGTTGCAAGTTCACGTGTTGGAGCTCTACAAACCACCAGCCTAAAAGATGTCACATATTTTTAACGAAGTCATACTTGTGATGCTAAAAATTAGGCAGAAAATGGCAACAGATTATTTCCTTTTTATTCACAATATTTCTTTTGATTCTTGCTGAGTTGTCACAAGAAACAGAAAAATTGTATAGATTGCTTCAACAAATACTGTGGTTTAGCAATATATATATAAATATATACTATTTTTATAAATATGCAAACAACATAGATGTTGATACAATGTATTATTATTATGTGGTACAGTATATACAATGCATTGTGTGTAATAAATTATTATAACTTGATAGAATTATATATTTAATAGGTATATATTTTATAATAGCTTTTTTTTTAAGAGGACCTATTTCTTTTTAAGACTTAAGAAAATGGTTAAATTTTGTTCTGAAATCTTCTAGAATATTGAAAGATGATACTTTTAATTTCATTTTTCTCTGACTGTTCTGAATGAAGCCTCAGTCTCATTTTAGTGAATAGCAAATATCCCAGTCACTTAAATAATTCAGTATTTCACTGTTCTTATTATGCACTTTTGACACTAATACTTCTACAAATGTGTCTCCTGATTTCACTGGAAGGAGTTACATTCCTCTTCTAAAGAGGGCACATTGAAATATACTGAGTGTTTTATTGAAAACCTTTTCCTCAAGGCCACTGTATCTCACAGCTCACAGCTTCCTGTATAATAATGCTACTGAGAGAATTTGTATAAATTAATTCCATTTGTATAAATTAGGTTTTCTGTAAGAGAAAAGAAAAAAGATATATTCTGTAGAAAGTGTTCAGAATGGAGCTCATCTGTGCACTAGACATTACTTAAAGTTACATGTTTGAGGTTCCTTGATTTATGTCTCATCTAGTATTTACCATTGCATTACTGGCAATTTATGCTTGTTACATTAGAAATTACATCCATATTGCATATCTCCTCTGCTTCTTACTCTTCCTAAGGAAGTATCATAGCTTTCATCAAAAATATTCCATGGTCAAACAGTGAGTGTCTAAAGCCATTTTGTCTGCTTTACAGGGTGGATCACAGGGTGGATCACAGGGTGGTCAGGTAGGTAGATCTTTATTTTCCATTGGTAAAAACATTTAAAGCAATTCTAATCCACAGTACAGTTTTCTTACACATGGGGATATAGACTCTTGCAGAGTCTCTCCATGTCCAGTCTGTAACTCATTCTCTGCAAACATACTTCTTATCAGCCCTGAAATTCCACTTACATAAAATTGGAAGTTACATAGAATTTCCATAGAACTCAGCAACATAGGACAGCTGTATTCAGCTCTCCAGCATTATGACTGCTGCTGTTTTGTTTTCACAGGGTGATTCGTACTATGGTGGTAGCCAAGTAAGTATTGCCTCCCACCAAGGTGTTATGACGGTTTTAACTTCTATGATGACTGATCAGTATCTGATGGGCAATATGGTGATGGAAATGATGTTAATTCTAATTATTTTGTTGTTGTTTTTTTTTAGCAGAGTGGATCATCATCCTCCCAAAATTATGGTGACAACCAGGTAGGCAGACCTTGATTTTCTCCTGGTAAGAATTTTTATAATGTTTGACAATTTATCCAAATATCTTGAAAATTGTATTTGTTCAAAGGAATTCTAGGCAATTGTTTATTCCAGCTTTACAGCCTCTGAACCAAATCACAGTTTCTTCTGAAGTAGAGTTTATATTTGTTTGTTTTATAGGATGGATCCTACTCACAAAACTATGGTGGTGGCCAAGTAAGTAATACTGTATTTCACTACTTATACATCACTTCATATAAACTTTAGCCTCTGCTCAAAATCAGGTTTTCTGTATTGTAGCTTTCTCCAATTTTGATTGAGTTTTTTGTTTGTTTTAAAGGGTGGATCATCCTCAGACACCTATTATGATAATCAAGTAAGTAGTTTTTTCTCCTAGTTACATAATATTATAGTCCCTACATCAACTAAAAGATCTAATAAAACATAATTGTTTCAGTGATTTCTGTGATTTGGATTTGTTTTATTGGGTTTTTTTCTTTACTGAGGATTGGAATATTTTCTGTCAGCCACTATTGCAGCTATGGGTTTGGCTCCTTTTCTTTGTATACAGATCCTAATTTAATTTAACTCAGCTTCTTCCTTGCATGAGCATCTCTTTTGTTGTGTAGAATAAACATGAAAGGGTATTTGTAGCAATTCATTTTTGTAAGGAAATAACTGGTATCTGATGTTCTTCTAGGAGTCACAAGATTCCTCATATGATAGTAATCCCAACGCCTGTGATGATGTGAGTATGCTTTCGCTAACATATTTTCATCACAATATTTTTCATGTAGATTAGAAAATATTGCTCTGCTAGATGCAGTCTTTGGAGCAGAATGATCCAGAAAGAATGCTGAGTTTCCACACTAACAGCTGTTTCAGCAACTGCCCCTTCTCTTGCTGAAAATTGTCACTATATGTTTACAGATACAGTTAATGCTTTTAAATGCATTTAACTGGATGAAATGAAATATGAAAAAAATAATTTAATGGCTTTGCAGAAACAGATATTTTTCTCAAAATCTAAGGATACATTTTACATTAATTTAAAAAAAAAACCTGCAAGAAAATCTTTAAATACATACAATGAATGCAAGAAGAAGGGACAGATATTCCACTGCTTTTCATGTTACATTTGTACCGTACTAAGGTTGTTATTACAGTGTTTTTCCGACTGCAATGGTAGAATTTCAAACTAATTTAGACAAAGCTGTGGAGAATGGGAGCAAAAGTTATTTTTGTTATGTCTGTATGCAATATCAGAAACAATTTATTTTCTTTAGGCTTGCTTTATTTAAATAATTCTTTAAAAAATGAAATAATATATTCTTTTCCAGAATGACACTACCTACAGTGCCAATAGTCAGGTAAGTACTTTGTTTGTTCTATAGTGTTCAAATCCTAATGATTAATGACAATGTTAGTAACTAAACACTTCTATATTAGACCTGTGCACCTTTATTATATGATTGCTTTATACTACCCTTCAAAAAGTTAATTATTTCTCTGTACTCAAGGCTGCTGCACAATTATTTCAAATGACACAATACTTCTAAGAATATATACTAATATATTTTCTTCATAATATGTCCACTTTGGCTGGATAATTTGGGCATTAATCACCTGTGTACATGAGGCATGTAGCCATGTCAAGCTTTTCTCACTTACTCAGATTTAATGTCACTTACATGCTGCTGTTGTAAAGTAACATTTTTGCCTGGTATTTCCCAGTATTACTCTCTTTGTCAAGACTTTCCCTCTGTCCTACAAGCAGAAACAGTGATTACCATGAATAGATTGTGACCAAGCAAATGCAGTGTTGTGTAAATAAGTTATGTGTAAATAAATTACATTTTCTCTACTCGTTTCTGTTCCCAGAAAAGCTGTTTCCATTCATCACAGCCTCTTTTTATTTTACTGCCATCTAGAGTAACCTTCTGTCATCAGCTACTCGTCTCTTTAGTTCTCAGCCATTCACTATTCTGCTTCATTGTTTTCCCTGGTTTTCCTCTTGAATTCATTGCATTAGGTTCAATTAAAAATGTTCTGAAAAAAATTCCTTCATCAGCAAGCCCTGTTTAGCAGCCTCCTCACTTCCTCCTTAGTACAAGAAATATGTTAGTATTCCCTTGGTTATCTCTATCCAGTCTGTATGGCTGGACTGCTTTGTAAAATAGTTGGCATCTAAAGCCTTTCACAAAGAAGGATGGGGAATGCTAAAAAGTAAAAAAAAAGAGAGAGAGAAAGGATCCTTATACAAATTGTGTACTAAACTAGAGTGGTTCAGCTGAGGGATGAGGGAGACTCCCCCAAGCAGGAACTTCTGTTGAAAGAGATAAACTGAAAACAGACAAAGAATATGCTTTTAAAGAATCTTACTGCTAATAAAACAAAATCTCTGGACATCTTCCTTTTCCAAATATCACCCTAACAAGTAGTAGATTTTAGTTAAGTATTTAGTGTAGACATCTACAGCTATAAAGTACTAACAGTCTTGTGGCTCCTTTGCAGCGTTCTGGTTGTGCAAAGAAGAAAGTTGTTGTTGCCCGAGTAAGTAACACTTTTCTTCTTTTACTTTTTGCCTGTTTGTAGGATTTTAGACCTAACTATACCTAACGTGTCTTAAATATACCTAATTTTTCCCTAATCATGTTTATAGTAGTGAATATCTTCCTGCATGAGGGAAAAGGAAAATAAAATTACTTGGGTATTTGTTCTTTGGATGAATCTCTTTAAAGAAAGTATATATATATGAGAAAAAAAAAGAAAAAGACATGAAAATCATGCTTTGAAGTATAGCCTAGCTCTAATTCCTGTTCTTCATTAAGCACATACAGATTTGGTCCAAGCTAAAGTTAAAATAAATGAGTATCATACAAACAAAGGACAGCTAACATTTTAGCTGAAGAAAGATAGAATAATAAGTAAGGAACAATAAAATTTCCTATTTTATTATGCTCATAATAGGAGATACAGATATCTGTACTGTATAGTTGCAAGCCAGACTCAGTAGTAGCCTTATAAAAATTGTAAGCAAATAGTCTTTTATTTTATAATAATGCATTCCTACTCAATGCACACAATAACAGGTCTAGTGCTCTTATAAATAAATAATATGGAAAGAAAAAAAGACCTATCGGTGATCACAGAATTTTCATCTCCTCATTGTAAATGTTATTATTCTTTTGCAGGACACATCACATGTTCTAAGCAGAAGAGCCTATGATGTACAGGTAAACTATTCCTGTCCCTTTTTTTGAACAACTGCTGGTAGTAGTAAGCTTCTAGCTCCTTGTGTATTACCTACAAAAAAAGAGAAAGATCTAATGTCCACAAAAAACAACTAATTCTCTTAGGGTTAGGTCTTTCTTCCCAAATAGAACTATGTATTTTATTTTATTACCCTTACAGATATGAGTCTTTTTTTTCTTCACAGAATGCCTCTTCTCCTTCAAACGGCAGCCACTCTGACATGCAGGTAATAATGTACTGTCAACTGCATAATATCAAGGGGACTTCTGATAAACTATAGATCCTTTTGAAAGTTAGGTTCCAGTAATTTTTTTTGTGCTGAAGGATGCTATTTTGATTTGACAGCATTTCCCTATAATGTTGTAATTTTGCACAGTTGTAAATAATGATATTAGGCTCAGAAAATACAGTTTCTTCTGTTCCTTCACCCCACTAACCAGGTAAGAATTGCAGGTGTTTCTTTACATAACATTTTGTAAAATTAGTCTGAAAAGCTACAAACTACTTATTTTCAGATTCTTATTTTAGAAACATCCTTGCATTCTTCATTGCAATGGTCATACATATAATTGTTTTGCTTTGCATTTGGTAAGGTACATTTTAGGGATTGCATACTTCTGTTACAAAATTAGGTCCAACTTTCATGTTCTGTAGGATATACAGAATATATGCTGTAGCAGTGCTTATATTAGAAAATTATGTGAAATTTAACTGATCCAGAGTGGCACCTTGTTCTGTTTTTCTTAATATCTTGGATTGCTACCCGTCCTAGGGGTTTGAAATCCTGCTACACCAGCATTATGTAGATTTAACAGTAGCATAGTCCTCTGTCTCAGAGAGTTTGGAGTTTAAATCAGCATTGCAGACAATCTCTGAGCTCTGGAAGGTAAGAGTTTTCTTAATTAGTTTCCCTTATGCCCATTTTCTGTGAATTTTATTAAGTTGCTTAATTAGGTTTCATCCTAATTTATATTTTTACAAAAATCCAACAGGTTATGTTAATTGGTGCAGGAAGTAATAGAGTTTGTAATAGTGTTTCTCACTACCTAGTTTTGTACTTTACATTCTAATAGAATGCTTTCATAAAATATAATTGTTTTTTTCACAGGGCGGATCATTTATTGCAACCAGTGGATCAAGTAATCAGGTCAGGATTTTCCTTATTTTTAACTGGTCTTCTTCAGATAGATTCCTATTAATTAAACTAATTAAATTCAGAAATCAGAGTTTAAGTAGTTTTACATGGAAGATTGGTGATGATATGCATTAATTTGTAAATGAAGTGGCCCTATTCATATTAAATTTATCAGAAATGGCTCTCTGAAATAACATTTTAGCACTATTTCAACATAACATGTGTTTTACTAGTGATAGCATAATGGGATTCTCCTGACTGCCTTATACTTCTTTCTTGCTGAGGCATCTGTCATTGGGACATCCCACTGGGAGATGCATTATCAGCCTGACTTCCAAAGCAAATGTTAACAGTACACATCTGTGCTGTCCCCTCATTTGTTCTAGGTACAGAAGTCATACCTTCTTTATAGTCTCACAGACTTTCTTCCCCTAAACAGTTTTGCAACTGAAATAAGATTTTATTTTAAATTTTCACAAAGCAATAATTGGGGGTTTTTTTGGTTTTTTTTTTAATTTGTAGGGTGGTTGCATTTGTCCTGATGGAAGCAGTGGTCATAGACCGGTAACTATATTTCTGAGTTTATACTTCCTTCTACATAATGGAGTGCTTTGAATCAATCACCTGTAAATATGGCCAGTTGGTTAACACTAAATATTAATGGTCATTTCCTTAATATGAGTACAACCATATACAATTAAATGAAAGAATAAGTTCCACTTAACTTCATAATTACCATTTGACCACTAATTTTCTGTAACTGTTCTCGGTGATCCACATGCTCTGTCACTTAACTATTATGTGCCAATTATTCATTGTGTTCAAAAACCAGTCAATATACTTTGCAGTAACCACAGTTCTTAGTTACATCCAGCTTAGTTTCCTTGTATTTCTCACTGGTGCAATAAAATGCTATGAATAAAAATATCAAAATTTGATACGTATTTCAAGATATAATCTCTTAAATTAACATTTAAACTGATCCTTCCTATAAAGAGAATAATTGAAATTTCAATGTCAGCTGCACTGGATAAACTTTCCTCTTAAGCAATGCCTCAAGTCCAGGAAAAAGGCCAAGGAATGTGTTGATGTGGACATTATAGACTAGCTCTACCAGGCTCCTGGCTTTTAAAGTCACCTTGGATTTTAAAGTAACTTGTCTTCTATCAGGATATGTATTCCTGAATCTTTTATTGAAGCTGTATTTACATAAACTCATTTGAATGGTATAGAGTTTTCTATTTCAACAAGAAGCATTTTGTTAATTATTCTTTCTGTAAAAAACTCCCACACTATTTAAACAAACTAATTGCATAAAGAAATTACTGCTTTCTGAACTTACTAACTTAAAATACAGCAACAGCAATTTTGGTCAGATGCAATACCACCTCTTTCATCTAATTGAGGCTAAGCAGTAATCATGGTTTACATGCTTTAAAATATAAACTAGTCCATTAAAATAAATAATAATGAAACTTCATTGAGGAAAAAATCTTTTTATTTGTTGCTTGATTGTACAAAAATCCATTTATAAGGAAGGTGGAGACCTTTATGCAAGTTTTTTTCATTCTAATAAACATTTTTCTTTGCATGCTTTAATCATTGCAAAAAAAAAGTTTTTAACAGAAATCCAGCACAGCTTGGTTGAGGAGAGTGTAATTAGTTGCTATCAACTAAAGGAAATTTTCAACCTGAAGAAAATAAGACATCAAAATAGGACAGATTAGAAAACCAGTTCTCAATGCAGTTGTGTCAACTTTGATGCATAAGAGACTTATTTTCCAATTTGCAATCGTATCAGCTGATCAAATTAATTTATGATAAATTATGTAGCAGTGGATTTGATCTTTGCTTTCATGGTCTTATCTTCATTTTCTGTCCAGGGCCCTCTACACATGGCAGCTACAGTTCTCACAGTAGCATGTAAACAGATTGGCCAGGACTGGTTACATTCTAATAATAGTTAAAAAGCAAGCTCTGGGTAGATGTATATGTACACATAAACTACCACTCCTAAATCTTACAGAAAAGAGAGAGTGATGTACTTCCTAGGGCAGTGCTTACAGCACCAAGCCTGACAGAGTTCAAGAAGCATCTGGCACATGGTGTGACTCTTGGGGCTGGTCCTGTGCAGGACCAGCAGTTTAACCTCAAAATCCTCTTGGGTCCCTTCCAACTCAGTTTATTCTGATTCCTTGAGAAATTCTTGCAAAAATCCTTCTTCTAGATTTAAAAGCTGTGAGTTACAAAACAGTCTCTTTAAACCTGGAGAATATTATAAATTAAGAGTCAGAGCTACACATATTTAAACCATCTTGTTTCAAAGGAAAAATGTATGTGGATCCCCAAATTCCTCACTCTGCAATTATTCTGCTTTTTCTCCAAGCTTTATTTAAAAACAAGATCTTAGTCTACAAATAGTCTCAGAGGAAGCAGTCTAACCATAGAATAATGCTTCCCCTGTTTTTATAGAAGGGGAAAAGGGTAGTTATAGTGAATGTCATAGGACTTTCACTATATGTTATAGGAACTGGTAAATAGTCTTCCCCTTTAAGTGATGAGCTGAAAAACATGGTCTCCTAAATACTCTTTACACTTTGAAAGTCCAGTATTCTGGCAGCTTTTAAAAAGGCCGTCAAGGTAATGATCGTCTATAAAAACGCGGAGTCTGCAAGGTATGACATAGGATCCTGAGATTAGAAAAGGAAAAATAAATGTTAGTAGTACTTTCAAATGTTTTAACCTGAACAGGAAATTACAGAACCTGCTACAGATTTCCTTATCTGTAAAAAAAGTACAAACCAGCATTCTGTTTTAGTCGTTGCTGTAAAGTTTCATTTGAAAGAATAGAAATTCACAGTAGAGTCACTTATGGAAATGTCTATTTGCAAGCAAATAGCTAGTCTCTGTTTTCATTTCAGGGAGCCCCAGGTTCTTCATACAACACATATTCTGGTAACCAGGTAAACATTCAGATAAAATGCCCTATTCAGAAACTCCACCTAAAACCTTCCCTGAAGGAATAGCCAGATATAAACCAGTAACCCATTCTGTCTTCTGCACAGGGAGGGCCTTACTACTACCCTGGAGGATCCTATGGACAGGTAGTAGCTCTTCCTCCCTCACCAGGATAATACAGACTCCCATCCTCCTGGTTCCTTCACTCCCAGTATTGTGGGTGCTATGACATATTAAATTTCAGACCTGACTGTTATCCCTTAGAGCAGAAAAATTAAATCAACCCTGATGTATCCTGGTGGTGTGAAGCTTGACAGAACAGTATAGAATGGTCTCCACAATTTCTTTGCAGAATTCAAATTTCAACAAGTTTTACTGCCTGAAGATTTCTTCCACTTCAAAAACAATGGTCTTGAGTTTTACTTAGGCACATAAAACTTAGCTTAAAATTGGGAGAAAGGGTAAAGTGAGAACCAGATGCACAGGTATTTAAACTGTCATCTGCAAGAAAATAACTGGTCTATGTTTTCCTTTCAGGGTGGCCCAAGTTCTTCTTATGGTTCTTACTCTGGTAACCAGGTAAATATTCTGGTCACTGTGCCTGCTCAGGAGCAGCCTAAAAGTATTCTTTGAGAAAACATTTACTACAAAGCAGTAAATTTCTGTTTTCTCTGCAGGGAGAGCCTTCCTACTATTCTGGTGGATCTTACGGAGAGGTAAGTGCTCTTTCTTCATTGTAGAGATAACAGACTTTTATCTTCATTCCTGTATTTTCAATATAGTGGCTGCTGTGAAATATAACACCCAAGAGTTGACTCTATCACAACACCTAATAATTCTATCAGCTGTCTGTACGTTACAACAAGCAATCTATCAGAGAAAAAGACTAAATTGTGCTTCCAGCTTCCATGGAATGATCTTTCATCTAACTAAAAAATTAGTGATAAGAAGCTCCTTCTTGTTTAAGAGTACTGCCCTGGATTGAGATTTAGATCCATTGGTATTTACACCATCCTGTTTGCAAGCAAATAGCTAGTCTGTGTTTTCATTTCAGGGAGCCCCAGGTTCTTCATACAACACATATTCTGGTAACCAGGTAAACATTCAGATAAAATGCCCTATTCAGAAACTCCACCTAAAACCTTCCCTGAAGAAGTAGCCAGATATAAACCAGTAACCCATTCTGTCTTCTGCACAGGGAGGGCCTTACTACTACCCTGGAGGATCCTATGGACAGGTAGTAGCTCTTCCTCCCTCACCAGAATAATACAGACTCCCATCCTCCTGGTTCCTTCACTCCCAGTATTGTGGGTGCTATGACATATTAAATTTCAGACCTGACTGTTATCCCTTAGAGCAGAAAAATTAAATCAACCCTGATGTATCCTGGTGGTGTGAAGCTTGACAGAACAGTATAGAATGGTCTCCACAATTTCTTTGCAGAATTCAAATTTCAACAAGTTTTACTGCCTGAAGATTTCTTCCACTTCAAAAACAATGGTCTTGAGTTTTACTTAGGCACATAAAACTTAGCTTAAAATTGGGAGAAAGGGTAAAGTGAGAACCAGATGCACAGGTATTTAAACTGTCATCTGCAAGAAAATAACTGGTCTGTGTTTTCCTTTCAGGGTGGCCCAAGTTCTTCCCACGGTTCTTACTCTGGTAACCAGGTAAATATTCTGGTCACTGTGCCTGCTCAGGAGCAGCCTAAAAGTGTTCTTTGAGAAAACATTTACTACAAAGCAGTAAATTTCTGTTTTCTCTGCAGGGAGGGCCTTCCTACTATGGACCTGGTGGATCTTACGGACAGGTAGGTGCTCTTTCTTCTTTGTAGAGATAACAGACTTATTTTCCACCTGTTCTGTCCTCAAAAGATGGAAAACACTTTCTTGGGAGAATCAAATTAATCAGCTTTTTAAAATTTTCTTTGCAGGGAGGGTCTTCTTCTTATGATAGCAGCAGTGAATCCTATGGTCAGGTAAGTACTCTTTTTTTCCACTTTGTGTAAACGTTGCTGAGGGCCAATACCCTGGGTGAAGTAAATATACAGCTATATCTGTACTTCAGCTCTCACTAGACTAATGAAAGTGGTCTTTTATTTGAGGAATGAGTGAATTGTATGTACTTTTACCTAGGTAGCCTGAACGTTTATAGGGCAGTAAAAGGTGCGGTGTCTCCAACCTTTATGGGTTATTCTTCTCAACAATGCTAGCTTTGAGTTACCTGCAAGATGGAGGTCTCTTTAAAAGTGGAATTAGAATTTGAGTTTAAAAACATGTATCATTAGTATTGTACAGGCACATAACTCAGTTGCTTAACAGTTCTGATAACCAAGTAAATAATCAGATTTTTTTAATCTGCCAGAAGAAGATCCCTACAGTAAGGAGAGAGAAAAAAAAAAGGCAGCACCTGTTTGCAATATGAAAATTATTTATGTTTTCTGAACAGGGTGGATCTTCTGTATATAGTGGTTCTGAGGCTTACGGCCAGGTAAATGTTATTTGTCTCCTACATCAAAAGCTTAAACTTGCTGTGCTGGTTTTTATGTGTACTGGGTTCTATGCCTCAGTTATTTTTAAGTGACCATGACCAGGAAAATGCCATTTTAACTTTTTTTTCTCTTTACCTTTGTAACAACTCAAAATGTTTCCATAATGTAGAGAACACGATGCACTATGCATGCTATTTTTCACTGTGACTAGCCCTGTGACTATTCAGTGCTTTAACAACTTTATTGCTCATATGTTAGCTCATTCAAAAGGAAAATACTTTATGCATTTACTTTACATACCTTACTTATGCAGAAGCTGTTGAAAGTTTAAATAATGGAATTTTTTAATATTAAGAATGATAACTTTGCAATTTAACTTCATTGAAAAGTTTCTCCCCTATAAAAAAGCATGTTTGCAAGGAGGGCTTTTTCCCAGCCTCTTCTGCTTAAGCCTCTTTTCAGGTAAAGTTAAATATTTTTTCTTTTCTTGCACATTCCCTAGTTTAGGTAAAATCTGAGATTCTAAGCACTTAGCTAGTTTTATTCTTCTATTTTATATACCCCACAATTAAGAACACGAAAGAGAATTTTTTACATGAAAATAAATGATTTTCCATTATTTTACAGGATTCACCTGCCATGGGAGCCAGTGAAACTGAAGATAGTGTAAGCATTTCTTCTCAAAAATATCAATATCTTCATTCACTACCTTTTAAAGTATCTAGGTGCTTACATGGACCTTTACCTTATCTGATGTCACGTGTTGTGCTATACATGATAAGAACTTCACAAATTAAAATTGCAGTTACAACAGTTCCAACTTCTAACAATCAAACATTTTTTTAATTTGCTGTTAGAAGTAGCAATTACAAAGAAAGCTCTTTTTATTTCACGATTTCTATCAAAACTCAATATTTTTATATGACTACTTCTCTTTCCATCCCAAATTAGCACTACATTTTGTTTGTTTTTCCAATGCCAGACACATGATTCAAGTTCCTTCAACTACATATTGCATAGGAATGGTCTGTTTTCACGTAGTGTGGTGAAAACTGCCTGCTTTTCTTTAAAAGATGCCTTTTCTACTGGCTAAAGTATATACTCTATTAACTCTGCTAAAGCCTGTTATAAGACTTCACAATTCTTAAGTCTTTTCCAGGGTCCTGGTTAGTAGGAAATTGCTCTCTGCAAATAATTACAAATTCAGCTGTGCACTTTAGTCACAAGTATACTGTGTCAATAGCTTCAATGCAGTTTCTGAACCAAACCTTCTTATGGATATTCAAGAAAGCTAAAATATGATACTACAGAGGCTCCAAGAAGCCCTCTGAAAAAAACTAAAGTGTAACAACAGATGTGTACCACATTTTGGTCTTTGAAAAATCAAGACAGCTTTGCAAATGCTGATGTTTTCCCCTGAAACATTCTGGAGGACATAAAATAGATTGAGATGTGACCTCATTCCTTTATTTCACTATATCAGGATTCAGCTTTCAAAAGAAAGAAATGCCATTCTCCAGAAATGAGCTGAGAAAGAATTTGCAGACTGCTTATCCTACAGCCTACATCTTCCACCTTCCCACAAGCAGTACCTCCCTTTGCTTCCCCCCCTTGCTTGGAAAGAAGCAGTAATATTTGCCATGGCAATAACTAGATTCTGGTCTTTTTTAGGATTCCTCCTCAGCGTCTGGTGGCCGCCAGAGTGAACGGGTAAGCAATCCCTCCTTTATGTAGTGCCAGGTGCCAGCCCAGTGCCAAACCTAAACTACATCTCCTGTGGAAAGCCTGAGGCAGTTCCAGTGTGGGACAGAAAGCCCTCAAGCCCATCAGGAAGGAGGATATGGTTAAAGAGTTTAAGTACTGCTAGAAATCCCAGCTGATGCTGAGGTGGGCTCCTGAATCTCAAGCTCACATCACAAATGTGATAGCACAATTTACTTGCTCAGGTCCTTGCACTTTTTAAATAACTGATTGACTGCAAAGAGCTTCAATACCATGATTTTTCCAGCATTTATTCTAAATGCAACCCTTTGCTTGTTGTGCTGTATGACTTATTTTGAAGGCTTCCACTTTCCTATCATTTTTATATGGCACATAATGTATTTATTCTAATGACACAGACTGAGAAATTAGTTTGTTGGAGATTTAAGTCTTTCAACTGTTGTATCCTAAAAATATTTTCCACCAAAAGAGCAATTATCAATAATCATGAAAGGCATGTGCTCTTTTATATATAAAGACAGTAGATTTTTTTTTATTTTTCTTGAATAATCCATGACAGAAAATTAAGGCATGTGGAGAAGAAAGGAGGAGAGTTTTTCTTCCACTCTGATCTTTCCAGTTTTTGGGGTTTGGTTTTTCCATGTAATTTCATTTTAAATACATTTTTCCAGGATTTTTATTCCCCAGGAGGCAGCCAGTCAGGTGGACATGTAAGCATCTATTTTATTTATTATTTGCAGTTCTCTTTCAAAATGGCTGTACAATTTAAAAATTATCCCAATGAGTAAATGACACCAAACCATTAATTTCCTAGAAATTCTCATGACATCTGGCATCATGACTTGTGAAATCAAATTGAAAACTGTTTGAATAAAAAATTTAAAATTTGTGTGCATAGAACAGTCTTGTTCTCCATAAGCTATTTCAAACAAAAATAAATTGGGTCTTCTTTTTGCAGGGGTCATCTTCTCAAAGTGGCAGCTACTCCAGTGGACAGGTAAATACTAAATCTTTGTATTTTTGACCTGAAGTATTAATCATACAAAAGTTTGAGGCCTCATATTGTATTACAGCAATTTTTAATCTGTGAATGAAAAAGACTTGTTCATTCTTCCTTACATAGCTCTACGTAAAATTCCAAATGCAAGCAGGGTAATCAAAATACAATTACTGTATTAACTGATGTTTTAACATCAGGAAAAATGAAAGTAAGAAATATTTGGCATTAATTTATATATTTTAAATATAAAGCAAGTGATTTTTATTTTTTTCAGGACTCATACTCATCTGGAAGCAGCCAGTATGGTGGGCAGGTGGGAAATTTTTATTCTTTGCTGTTATTGTGAGAGGTTTTCCCCCAATGTACATATTTAAAGAAAATATTACCAGATTAGCAATACCTAAATTTCCAGACTACTCTGTGGTTTATTTTATCCTCATTGATCTTTCTATAAATAAAATTACGTTCTCAACTAATATCAACTTTTGAAACAGTTAAAAGTGTAAAAGACAATACTTTGTATTTAAATGCATGTGTCACAGAAAAACCTTTAAACAAGAATGTAATGTTTTCAGGGTTCATCCTCCTCAGGAGGCAGCCAGTCTGGTGGACAGGTATGAACTTCTTTCTCCACAGTCTTCAGCCAGGCTTGTGTCAGGGACTCTATTTCTCTCATCTTTCCTTTACAAGAACTGTTTTCTTTCACCAGGAAAACAGAACTGTCCTTCTTGCCCAAAGCCTCAGCAACACATAGTTTTCTTTTGCCATTTGTTATGTGGACATCCTGCAAGCTAGAGTATCCAGCAGTAATTGTTTGGCACATGCATGTCAGCTTCTGTACCTGCTTTGGTACTAAAGTTCATGCATATTGAAAGTGCAGAGTGAGACACTGAACGGAGAACTCCTGCCCACTTCTCATTAGTTTTATCTGAGTACAAATCACCTGTTTTCTGGATCATCTGTAACATGAAACTGCTGCATGTACTCCAGGTGCTCTGGCCTGTGAAGAAAAAAAAAATTGCTTTCTATGGTACTACTCAGAATTTTGTATTCATCCTCTTGCTGAGTATTACTTTAAGGTAAAAAGTATTATATTATTTTTATGGTAAAAAGTGTAGGTAAGAAAATTTGAAGATAAAAAATGAGCATTTTGTTGCCCCACCAGAGCAATAAGTGCAGGAACAGTTGCATAGGATGAAACAGACTCGGTGCTAGAAGCTGGGCAGTTAAAATGTGGCTTTATGGTTTGCGTGCCTGGGATGGTAGAAGTAATTTGAGTTGTAGCTAGGACCCATTTCAGTCCTGTGCTCTTAAACACTTTCTGCATTCTTTACAGGGTGGATGTGATTGTTCTGGGACAAATTCTGTAAGTGCTACTTGTTCATTATACATTTTCTTTTACTAAATTATTTAACTGAAAAAATATGTGAGATCATATTTATTTCCAACTTAATTATTTTAATGTACTCCAAAATTTACATTAATTGTTCCTTTTGTGAGTTAGATGGTTCTGATATGGTAGGAGTTATTTCTTATCATGCCAAGATTCAGTGTTACAGAATCATTGAATCATTTAGGTTGGAGAATGCCTCAGGTCCAACCAGTAACGCAGCACTGCCAAGGTCACCACTTAGCCATGTCTCTAGGCGCCCCTTGTACAGGTCTTTTCAATACCTCTGGGGCTGGTGACTCAGCCCCTTCCCCAGCAACCTCTCCAGTACTTGATAATCCTTTCAGTGAAGAAATTGTTTCCTAAAATCCAATGTGAGCCTCCCCTGGAGCAGCCAGAGGCCATTTCCTCTGGTTCTATTGCTTGTAGCTTGAAAGAAGGGACCAGCCCCCACGTGGCTACAACCTCCTTTCAGGGAGTCATAGAGAGCAATAAGGACACACCTGAGCCTCCTTTTGTCTAAAGGCAAACAACCCCAGCACCTTCAGCTGCTCCTCACAAAGCTTGTGCTCCAGACCCTTCCCCAGCCCCTTTCCCATTTTTGGACACAATCCCACACCTCAAGGCCCTTCTTTGAGAGGCCCAAAAGTGAGCAAGGATTCAAAGTGGCAGCTTCATCAGTGCCCAATCAGTGTAGGGGGGACAATCCCTTCCCTAGGGCTGCTTGCTGGCCACATTATTTCTAATAAAAGCCAGGAAGCTCCAAAGCTGGCAGTGAGCTGCATCTCTGAGCAGTGATGTCAGTTGCTATACAGTATTTACAAAGATGTGTATCTCTTCTCAAAAAACCCAAAAAAGATTGCATTAAATAGCGGAATTAATTGACAAAAGACCTATTATGAAACCTAAAATAATATCCAGTCTATAAAATTGCCAATTGTAAAAATTTGTATCAAAAATCAATCTTTACAAAATTTAATATATAAACAAAACAAAAAATGGAGCGACTTCTCACTTGTGTCCATATGAAATTATTTAAGGACTATGAAATAGGGTAATCCCTGTTTTCAAAGCAATTCATATGTGGACAATCAACATGTAGCATGTAAAGGACATTCCTGCACCTTGGAAATACTCTTATCTCCTAGGCAATGAATTATAGGTAGATACAATATGATACTTCATGATTTGTGGTCTTCTGGACCAAAAAAGGGCTATTTTATCTATTGGCAAGTTGATAGAGTAAGTGAAGTGTAAGTGTAACTGATTTCAGGCTGTGATATTCTTCCTTTGAAATGCCATGAAACAGACATTCTAAGGTTTTGTTTCATTTATAGTTTATGACCAAAGACAAAGGCTAATTTTTCTTTTCTTGTTTTCATTTATAGGGTGGATCCCCTACTTTAGTCAGAAGTAATTCCTCTGCAAATGTAAGAAATGTTCATCAGCTTTTAAGTTTGTCCTCTGTTTGCTTTATCAATATAATGGCTAGAGAGGATAAAAAGAGTCAGTGCCTAATAGGAGTCATACATTTGTGAAAATAACCTACTTTGGTTACAAAATTAAAAATACGCACAGGACATTCTTTTTAATTGTAACTAAAAAATGCAAACAGAACTCTCATTCAGTGCTCCCAGTTTTCCTTTCCATTTGAAATAGTTTTCACTCAAAGAGAAGTCTCTTACAATGAAAAATGTTGTTACAAACACAGGTAGATAACAGTGCAAATATTTACTTTGGGAGTCAATTCTATTGGCTTCCTTGGAATTATATAAAAAAATCCCCCAAGGATATGGATTTATGTGATTTTACTGCTCTTTTTTCCCCAGGGCACATCTTCTTCTGGAGGCAGCCACTACAACAGCCAGGTAAGCATTCATTCCAAAAAGAATGATTTACCACTGCTGAAAATGATTGTTAATTCATTCAGTCAAATTCAATTTTTATATAGGAACTGGGTAAAAAGAACAGAAGCCCAGCAAGTGAAATTCATCATTGAGTTAGATATGTCCTAAAAATTATAACAATGGATTTTTTAGCCAAGAGTGCCCTGACTTTGTGAAACTTGCAAAATGAAGCTTTGAAAAAAAAAAACGAAACAAACCAAAAACCAACCAAACAAGTGTGGGGAAAGAATGAATCAAACTGCATCATTTTGAATTCCTATTTGATCTAATTCCATTATGAAGAAAAAAAAAATCCAATCTCCCCTCTTTAAAGAGACCTTTTGTTGTATGAGGTTTCAGCAAATTTTCTTAGTTTGGTTTTCAGAGTTCTGTTGGTAGGTAATATTTTACTGCCAGCTCTGGACGAGCATTCAGCTTTCCAAATTAAAAAACTTCATTCTCCAGAAGTGAGCAGAGAAAGAACAGGAAAGAATTTTACTTTAACCTTCCCAACATGTCACACAAACAAAGCACTACGTCTTTGCCTTCCACCCTTGCTAAGGATCTCAAGTATTTTCCCAAATTAGCTTGCTCAACTGAAATCCTAGTTATTAAAGCATTCTGAAAGCCCTGCTCACCTGTCTTCCCTCTTACCTTGCTCTCTTGCTCCTGTTGTCCTGGCAGAGTCATGTTTTTATTTAAGGAAATCCTACTGCAGGTAATTCACTCAGCTGGTATTCTTTACAGGATTCATATTCCTCTGGAGCTAACCAGTATGGAGGACATGTAAGTTCTTACTTTTAATATTTTATATTATATTTTTAAATAAATAGTTGACTCACATTAAGGACCTCAATTTAATATATCAAGAAAATTGGCAGTGGTCTATACTCTGTGGTAATATTGTGCATTCAAGGAAGACAAAAAACAGAGTTTATTTTGGGATAATTGCACACAAACACTCTAACAAAATATAGGTGCCTTTGCCGCTTCTTTCCATGAATTAGATATTCAGAAATAACTAATTATCAATTTTTTTCCAGGAGTCATCTTCTTATGGAGGCAGCCAGTATGGTGGACAAGTAAGCATTAATAGTCCCCATTTTTGTAGTTTATTTACTGTCCACCTGACTGACTCTATCTTAGCTTTAATTTAATCTAAAATCTCTTCAGTAAATCTTTCTCTGTAGTGTTCTGATGCTACTGTAATTAAACAAAACAAGTTCAGATGAAAATCATTATCTAAGACTAAGAAAAAATAGAATGAGAAATACTTGGCTGACTCAACTGACTCTTGAAATTTGCAGGACTGGATATCATGTCTCTCTGAAATAAATCAGTACTTTATGAAGCTAGCCATAATTTTTAAAGCCTCATGAAATGATACTATGCATTTATGAAGCAAGTGTAAAAAGGTTTCAGTTTCCATTTTTTGTTTATTTTCAGGGTTCACGTTCCCCAGGAGGCAGCCAATATGGTGGACAGGTAAATATTCTTCCCGTGTAGTATTTACTACTTTGTCAAAGAGATTTGGCAGTTCTCTGAGTACAAGAACATTTTAAGGAGATTGGGGTTTGGTTTGGGGGGGGGTTCTGTCCATTTTTTATCTAATTTGTTGCTAAGTATATAATGGCTATAAATGTATGGGGTCCCAAGCCACAGCAGAGTTTTTAAGATGGAATTTCTGATGCACCATGGTAAATGCAGATGAGCCTCAGCCATTTTGGCAAGTGTGGTTCAGTCCACTGACAGTTCTGGAGGGAAGGAAACTGAGTACTCCTTCACATGGAGCATGGTTTAAAGGAGTTCAATGATATGGATATAGAGATTATTCAATTCTTTTTTGTTCAGGGTTCACCTTCTTCAGGAGGCAGCCAGTATGGAGGACAGGTGAGAATCTCTTCTCATTCTATACCAAAACTTAGTACTTTTATATTGACTGAAAAATAATTTGTGAAAAAAATCTGTTTATCTGATAAAAGATAGGTATCTAAAGATATATGCTTTGAAGCAATACAAAAACTGTGGGGATCTGCTGCCTCTGTTGTATTAAATGCAGTTCTGGCCTTGTTCTACCCTCCAACCTGCCCTGTTGCTGTCAAGGTCTCTTATCTCTAAGGAAGCAGATTCCTCCCTCCTCTACATCATTTCCTTCAGAAAAACGCAATATCAGAGTTGATATCTGAAAAGCAGTATGGTTAAAAATAGGAAGAGGGGAGAAGGTGAGGACTTACTAAGACTCCTCATGCCCCTGTGAAATGAAAGATGATAGATAGAGTTCCTGGTGCTGCCTGGAGGTATAGCCTCTAATATGGAGTGACACACAAAGCAATAGGCTGAGTGTTTATCTTCCTGACATTTTTCATTGTGCAACAGAGAAAAAAAATACTGCTTCTTTAAAAAGCTCTTTAAAAGCTTTTTTATTTGAGAAATAATTGGCACCTTTGCTACAGGGTCCATCTTTCTCAGGTGGCAGACCTTATGGAGGACAGGTGAGAATTATTTTTCTGTTTATGGGCTGTTTTCTCCATTGTTTCATTGTTTGCCTTTTCTTTTTTTTTCTTTTTCTTTTTTTTTTTTTTTTTGTTGTTGTTGTTGTTGTGAAAATCAGAATATTTTTTAAAGGAGTGTCTGACAGCAAAACAGTGTTTAGGCAGAACAGCTGAATATCTGGCTCTGCTGTGTCAGACCACATAAGCAAGGTATGGAAGGCTACTGTGAGCACACAGTCCAGGGCAGCAGCACTACCCACACCTGCCTGAAGCTGACTTTGAATCAAACTTCATTGTTCTGTTTAAACAGCAGCCACTGTAAAGGCTCTCAGTGGATTTCAGTATGGTTACAAAGTACATGTTCATGTCTCTGTGGCACTTAAATCCAAGGAAGACAAAAATGTCGTTTTCTGTGACAGGTCATGAGCTAAAGAATGTGCAACAAGTACAAATGCTTTTTCATTTCTTCAGGGTATAGCTTCTTCAGGAAGCAGCCAGTATAGTGGACAGGTAAAACCTCTACTTTCATGGTACTTGCAGTTTGGGTGCTCATCAGGAAAACAGACTGGTATTTTTTGCAGAAAAGGAACATTCTGAGATAGAATAGCTTTAAGCCAGACTGAAGCTGGATTGCTAAGTATGAGTTTGGAATATCAGATCATATTAAGACCAAATGACACAGGGGCCTGTGACGCGGGAAATGTCACAGCATGGAAATGTTTCTTCAACATATCATGGTTTAAGATAATTTTTTGTGTTATGTTTAAATGGAAGCAATTTGAAATTCTGAGAACCACAGAGAAGTGAGAATGTTACTCAGTAACACACAAGTAATTAAGTTACTTATTTCTTCCAGGGCTTTTCTTCAGGGGTCAGGCAGTCTGGTGGACAGGTATGTTTTCTTTCTCTGTATGGTTCTGCTAGTGTCATATACTCCCAAACTGCTTTGTGTAATTTCCCTTCACAAAAACTGTTTCCAGTCACACATTTAATCCAGACTAAATATGGAAAGTGAGACACTGAATAGTGAACACCAGGCCACCTCTGAGTTTTACCAGTGTAGAAGTTACCTAATAGGCCTCCACTGGAAGTCATCCAAAGAGCACTGCATGTATCCATAAGATGACAGAGTATATAGAATTGGAAGGATCCATCAGGATCAGCCAGTCCAACTCCTGGCCCTGTGCAGGACACCCCAAGAATGACACCATGTCCCTGAGAGCATTGTCCAAATACTTCTTGAATTCTGACAGGCCTGGTGCTGTGATCACTTCCCTGGGGAAATTCTAATTGCTCTGGTATCCTCAAGGAAAAATAAAACACAAGTAGTATTACTATTCAGAATGTTTTACTTATCCTTTTGTGAGTAGGTTTTTACTGTAAATTTTAAATGAGAAGTTAGAAGATTCTATTTTAAAATTTGATTAGTAAGTGCACAGCTAGCATAAAAGGGCAGGGAAGAGATAAAAAACCTTCCTTTTTAAATGGAGCTTGATAAATTGATGAGTAGTGTTTCATAATCCATTTTCTTAGAGTAGCAGAATATGAGTTTGATTTACTAATTCAGAGGCCTATTCCAATCATAGACCCAGGAAAGTAAGTTTGGTTGTGTTTTGTACAGGGTGGGTGTGTGTGCCCCGGTGGAGGTTCAGTAAGTATTTTTTGTCTTTATATATTATTCATAGTATGTACACATACTGGGAAATTCCCAAGGAGCTACACTTCTTGAAATAATTCTGTCTGTCAAGTTCTATGTATGATGAAATCTTTTTCCACATTATGCTAAAATGAGCAATTTTGAACCTGCTAAAGGCAAAAATAATAAGTGACTTGGAACCACAGCATTGTATTCAAAATGAGCGACTCAGTTTGTAAGAGAGGCCTGGGACTTTTCTAAGAATCTGTTTCACAAATATCTCATAGTGTACCTGTTGGCTTTTGGACTTTGCTCTTATGATAGTTATTAACAATATGATTGAACTAGTGAAACTTAGATTAAAATCTTGGCTTCAAATTCTTTCAGAATGGGGCAGAGAAACACATTTGGGAAAATTAAAGCTATTTCCATTTTTCTGTCTAACTAGTATATTTCCTATTTCTTTGTAAATTCCTGGAAAGAAAGCCAAAAAACCCCAAATATATAAAAAACATCCCCCACCCCCCCGTTTTGCTGAGATCAAGTTAATTTACTTGTGAAGGATTCTCAGTTACCTGGTTTTTTTTTCAATGGACTCAAAAATTGCTTGGATCACTACTTCTCTTTATTGGTCTATGTAATGAAGCAAAATTACATGCCCAAGTATATAACCCATGGTGTATATGCCAGTTCTGAGAATCAAAAGTGTTGAAAACACTCTAATATAAATTAGAGTTTATATAAATTAGAGTTTATATGAATAGAAGATATATAATAATAATACTCACTTATATACACGTTATATATATATATACATATATTCCTTGACATACAAATCAAGACAAATTAGAATAATAGTAAGCAGTGTAAATGACTTGATCACTGCAATAGGTCAGTTTGTTCTCTTGGATTTCCTCTGTGTGACACTGAAGTTATCACAGAGTAAACGTTGCTGTTTCTGTTGAATGCAGGGCTCTTTCTCAGGAACCAACTACCATGGTGGACAGGTAGGCAGTTTGTCTCTAGCATTTACACAGACTAGTTCCTCAGGAATAAACATGGCTGGGTTGTCATATTTGCCAGTAGCCATTAAATATTGAGCTCAGTTTAGTCACAGAGATAGGTAAAATAATTCCAGAGAGTGCAGGGGGCTTTTATTCAATCACAGTTGACATTTCAATTATATCCTTCTATATACAAGAGCCAAGGTTTGTAGTTACTTTGTAGTTATAGAAGCTTTCTTACCTTAAAAAATTACTGAAGAATCATTCACAGGGTTCATCTCACTGCATAAATCAACAATATGATGTGTGCATAATTAGTCATTTGCCATTGCATTAGTAACTGTGTAAAATTCTGCCAGTTAATCAGTGTCATGAGTATTGTTTATATTATATTAGGTCCAGGATCTTTTTTTGCCATTTAAAAATTTGTTGCTATTAAAAAAATTGTTTATAAAAAATTTGCATTCTTTTTATAGGGTTCATATCCTGGAAGTAATCAGTATGGTGGACAGGCAAGCAAATTTTCTTTGTTTTCAAGATCTAACTTCTATTTTCAATTTATCACCTGAAAAAATATGCAGTACATATACTGCCAGTTTTTTAGGGTTATTTTACTCCTAATAAATATTTGAAAACAGGGACTGTCAGTAGCTGGAGTATGCTCAAAATAGAGTAGCACGAATAAATTTCCACGCAAAGAAATTCCATAGATCATAATTTTAGTTGTTTTACCTCAGAATGCCTCTTATCTGAAGTGATTATTTTAATATTTACACTAAATACTTGGAAAATTTGGTACAGAATAAGCCAATAGATACTGCTTAAAAAATATAAATTCAGGTGTGTTGCACACAATAACACTACTTTCCTCTTCAGATCACTTCAAGACTCTTCCCATTAAGCATGCACCTTATGCAGACTGTTTGCCACTGATTCAGAAATGTTACTAGTGCAAATAGCTGGCAAGTTAAATGCATGACTAACTCAAAAGATGGAGCCTATTTTCATTAGTATTACTGTGTTTGCAATGTCTCACTCTACCATGGTAAAAAAATTAATTGCTTTTTATTCCAATGGCAAACATTGGTGTTCAGTATCACTCCATTAAAAAGATAATCTCACATAGAATGGAGAGGATTCTTTACACTGCAAATAATTTTTCCGCTCAAACTACCTAATTGGTAATATTAACAATGTTTCTACAATAATACACATGGTGCTCTCTAAACATGCCTGACATAATGGAAAATCAAAATAAAGTCTATTTTTTTTTCTCTTCAATAGAGCCATATGTAAGACGCTTTTGATCCATTTATTTGTGGAACAGAACAGTCTCAGCAGGTGTTTTGTGACTGTTTGCCCAATTTATTACTTTCAGTTGTTGAAAAACTTCAAGGCATTAGATCAGAAGTCTTTTACTGTATCTTTTCAGATTAATATACTTTCCAGATTATGAGTGAGATCTCCTGTAAGAAGTCCTGTGATGTTTCACTTTGCACAGAATAATGAAAAGTAACCGCTGTTAATTTTCTTCACCTTTTTTTTTAATAGGGATCTTATCCCTCAAGAGGCAGCCAGTATGGTGGGCAGGTGAGTATTCCCTTTCCATCCCATCACTTCAAACTCTTTCCTAACACACTTTATAGATTGGGTCAGTTACTTGATGCTAACTGATACTTTAATTTGGCCATTTTATTAAGTTTAAACAGTGGAGGTAATATGGATTGAAGCTGTTTCAGTAAGGTGAATAAAAGATTTGGTTACAATGAGTGACTGTTCTGTGTAAAATATTCCTTGAACATACTATAGTTGCCAGGCTGCATTTTATAACACTGCTTTCTTGATTCTTGTGGTGTGTAGTACAGAGTGCAAATTTTAAGCGTCCCATTTACGATTTTTGTTCAAAGAACACCCAAATAAGCTTGTCCTAAGTACTACAGAAATTGTCTCAAGACAGTGATAGATGATTTTACATTCAATTAATACAAGTTTGATTTACTTGTTACAGGGCTCATATCCTTCTGGAGGCAAACAACATGGTAAACCAGTAAGTACAAAGCATTCAAATTTACCTTTCTCTTTTTTTATACACCTGCTGAAAAAAAATGTATTAAGTTAGTTATGGACTAGACAGAGAATTACTTTAATATGCACAGAGTGGCACATGATTTACTTATCTGGGATACTCTCAACGAATGCAAACACAATATTTATTTTCACACAGTTTTGAGACAGCACTTTACTGTGTAGCTGAACTAGTAATCACAGAAGGAAACTACTGGATTTGTGTGTGTGTGTGTGTAAGGAACTTCTGAACAGCTATTTCTGTTTAAATTCATAATAATAATACACTTTGTGCTCAGAGCTCAGTTTTCCATTGATTTTGTATGCATTTGTCTTAAGTATTTCTGTTGTGCTTTGAAGAAAACACTTTCTCTTTTCAAAGGAAATAATAGTTGCCATTTAACTATGCATATTTTCAACTTCTACCATTTCAGACTACTCTTTTTACTGTATAATTTGGACCTCACTCTTGCCATTCAATGGCAGTTCATACAAATGTTTTAGCTTATCTCATAGAAAAGATGTACTTGTTATTAAAAAGAGATCATAAATGTTAAATTTTCTAATACATGAATCCTAAAGGTGAGGCATTTTCTGTATCTATTTGATGGCATTTCTTAAAGACTTAATAATTGTAACATTTCCTGTTGGCAATGCCATTCAAATAAGCAGAGCCACTTCATGAAAAAACTGAATAAGATGCTTTCAGAACACCTAATTTTTCTGTACCTACTTTTATTTTCAACTACCTTTCTTATTAGAGTTTCCTTTAAGTAGGGGCTATATAGTAAAGGCCTCCTATAATTTGACTTTTTTTTGTTGGTGGTGTCTTTTTTTACCCAAATGTAACCATAGACTGATACCAGAAGAATTATGGTTTAATTGGACTTTATTATTTTTTCTATTCCATACATTAAACACAACTAAAAAACAGTTCTTTTTTCTTGAGAATTTTGCATAAAATTTTCCAATACAACATTTGAAAGAACACACATCACAGAAAATGTTAAATATAAGTATTTCAGATAAGGTTTTGCCTGGATTTTTGGTTGACTGGATACAAAACAGTGTTCATTCTTCTCTGGTCTTTAATTACAGATAGCAAGACTATTTAAGCACAAATAGAATTAGAGGCAAAAACAGGTATCTTTTTTCAGGGTTCCTCTTCCTCAGGAGGCAGTCAACAAGGAAAGCCAGTAAGGATATTCTTCTTTCAGTATTCTGCAACCAAATTAGAAATGGGGATATTGGGTTTTAAGATGGGTAACAATGAGGGTAAAATTTTAAATTATGTTACAATAGTAAATGTATGAGAAAAATGATCAATGAAAATTGGAATATTTTGCTCAAGCTTGAACCTTAGGATGAGGCAGCATTTATTCCTCCCACAGCAAAGTTTTTTATTCATAGGAACATGGTTGGGTCATTCTGATAAGAATGATGCATTTAAATATCAGGGTAATTGTTTCAGTTTCCAACTCTGTAGTTTGGACAAGACACATTGCTTTGACCCATTCCTCTGAAACTCTTCCTGCAATAAAAAGGACATAGCTGTGCTTATTTGAGACCATTCAATTCAAATAGGGGGGAAAAGTGCAGTGAAAATGGTAAAACCAAAATCACTATCAGACCCTCTTATGTCCAGGGCATTTTCAAGACTGCTGTGTGCTCTTTGGACACAATCCACTGCAGCTTTGTATGACAAAATTAAATGGTTCATAATTATTTCACAGGGTGGCTCTGGCTCAGGAAGCACTTACTCTGGGAAACCGGTAAGAATACTTTCATCTTCTTTTCTCAGTAAACAAAGAGCCTGGGTGGTGTGTAGAGAAATTTTGGGATGACTTGGTCTGAAGAGAACATCCTCTGTTAATATTAGTTCAACCTTCCTCTAGAACAACTTAAAACAACACCATGGGTTAAGCTATTAAAATCTTATTGATCACAGGAAAAAACTGTGTTGGAAACCATTGGCTGGGAACATCCCTATAAATTTGTTTGTTTGTTTGTTTTCAGCAATCACCCTACTCAGGCGGCAGTCAAGTGGTAAGAACTTTTCCTCTGTAGTTTCTACTGGTCTCTTCCTATAAATGTCACAGAAAACTGAAAGCTGTCAAATTTCCTACATCTGAATAAATGTTGGAGAACATATGTGCAACATAATAAATTAAATAGTCTTAACAAAAATGAAGAAAAGTGGGACCACATAGGTGCTTTATGCTTTTGACTCTATCACTGAAAAATATGTGTTGATAGAAATGTGGCACATGATCTTTTGACATCAGAAGTGTCCATGTAATAGACAGGGCTAATAGAAAAAGATTTCTCTAAAAACGTCCATGCTTTTATAATAGCAATAAAGAGAACTATTTAGGAATGGGTTTATCAAATTTCTCTCTTTTTTTTGTTTTTATAGAGCTCTGCTGGGAAACACTCAACTCCCCAACTCCTGATGTTATTCAGTGTTTTGAGTGCCTTTGCTCTCTCTGCTGCTGTATCAAAATGGTCTATATGAACTTCTGTAGTGTTACTTGACATCCTAAACACTGATTATAATCTGTATTATTAATTACTTAATGTATAAAAAAATACCATTAAGTCAAATTGGCAGATGCTACTTGGCTGTTATGTTGCATGTCTAGCTGGTATGTCATGTCCCTCATTAGTTTACCTCTGGTTTTAGTCATTAGTAGTTCTCATTAGTTGTGTCAGTGTTTTAGGCATCATTTTAAGAGAGCATATGGTACCCCACCTATAGGATATGTTTTTATTTCCAATAGGGAATGCAATGAACACCTACATGAAATGACTGGTGTGACAAATGAATACTTAGGGAAATATCTGGTTATTAGCCAAAGTGGACAAGGTGAAATAAATTGTTGTATATGCAAACTGAGCACTGTGCCTGGTAATCATGGCATAAGGTAAGGCTAATGTATACTTCTTAAGCAGTTCTGCATGGGACAGAAGAAAAGATACTGAAGTAGTATCGGAGTATTGGTTTTAGTATTTTGCAATCAAATGCAAATTCAATATGGAGATTGCAAAGCAAAAAAAAAAAAAACAAAAACAAAAACTTCACAGGACTGAATTTTTTTGGGTTAATAAAAGTTTATTCATTAGAAAAATGAAACAGATCAAAGACATCATGAACTCCATTCAAACCAACTGCAAATACCTAGAGTTCTGTAAAGAAGCATATGAGGCATATGTATTCTAGACCGGGCTGATGAACTAAAATCTGCTGAAAAATAAAGCTTTTTTCCTTGGAAGGAGTAGAGAAATAATTAAATTCATAAAACTAATACCATCTTGGCTCCTTTTCTCAAGTATTTACTTTAACCTGTGATACCTTGTGTATCTGAAAGGTTAATTTCGTGAGTGCATCTACAAGCAGGTCCATCAGTGTGCTTGCTGAAACACCAGGGCCCGTTTTTGAGTTCAGCAGCAGTTCCTCGCCTTGCAGCAAACTCTTCTGGAGCTCTCAGAGCCACCTTCTGTTTGGTGTTAACAAAGCCCATTCACCTAAAGCATACTTCTAATGAATGTGTTATCTATTGAACATTAGCCTGCTGTTAAAATGACCATTGTTGGTAGTGTGCTTTTCTGTCACGGTTTACAATTATAATTGGTGGGAAGAGGTTTCGATCCAAGTTCTCCTACCAGCTTGGGCGGGGCCAGGATTTCACCTTGTTTGATGTGCAGCGCTACCCTTTGCCAGCCATCGGTAAATCAACCTGCAATTGACGCACAAAGTTATGCCTGTTTACAATCTTCAAAATTCGGTGGACAATTTGTTTCTTGGACAAAACAGTAATGTTCTGTTTGAGAGGCCCGTACCTTAATTCGAACTAGCCCTACCATTCTCTAATAAATTTGTGATGGGTTTCATACAAAACGCTGGTGTCAGTGGCTGCCGAAGCGCCCCGCTCACGGCTGGGGCGGATCCCGGCCCGTACCGCTGCCCTCTGGGGACCGCGGGCTCCGGGAGCCGCCCGTGCCCCGCTCCGTTGCCCTCACACGGCCGGGCCCCGGCCCCGCGCCCGCCCGGCCGCTCCCGGCTCTCGCTGCAGCCGCGGCCCTGGGAACCGAGCGGGCGGGGCTCGGCTGCAGCCGGAGCCTTTGCGGGACGGGACCGCCGCTCCCGGAAGCACCGGGAGCCGGAGCGAGCCGAGCTGGGCCGGCGGTGAGCGGCGAGCGAGGCCGCCGGGCGGGCGCGCAGGTGGGAGCGGAGCCCGGCCGGACCGCCCCCGCGGAGCGGTGCGGGGCTGGGCGTGAGGGGGAGCCTGAGGGAGGCCGGGGGGGGGGAACCTTTGGGGTTAGTGGATGGGGCGGGGAGCACGGCTGGGGAGGGAAAGCGTGGGATTGAAGGGACACCGAGAGAAATGGCTGGAAATGGAGCGGTTTGGGCAAGAGGGAGGAGAGGGTGATGTTGAAGTTGCTGTGGGGAAGCGGCCCTATGTGAAGTTGGGAAGGGGCAGGGTCTGCCCAGAGCTGTGTCAGTGCTGCTGAGGTTGTGACTGCCTTGCTGGTGCTCTGCTGAGGAGATGCTCTCTCTGCGTGATGTGGTGCTGCATGTGAAGTTAATAGAAACGCACATTTTACAAGTACTTGCATGGTTATCATAATTTTATACCAAGTTTTTGAAATGAGAAACGCTCTAAAGGTTCAACACTTATGGATTAAGCGAAACTCAGAGGATAGAGAGATAACAAATGTAATAATGCATATTATGGAATAAACTGAAAGATAAAAGATAACTATCAGAAGGTACCCAAAGTTGTTTCGTTTTATTAAATACTATAAACTATGTTTTAAACCAGAGGAAGGAAGACTTGGATTCCAGATAAAATATTTTAAGGTAATGATTGGGTGAAGAAGACTGACATAGCTTTGAGCAAAGAGGAGTGTGTTATTTGGGACATAAAGAAGGTATGCAACAAACCTTTGTAAATCTGAGTGAGCACCACAATGGGAAGTTTTATTTTTCATTGGGTCTCTACCCAGGAGAATTGGTATCTAAGACAACCTTTGCTTTTTAAAGACCTTATGTGCAGAATGACGAAGTGGGCCTTGGAATTAACATTAGGTGATGGACTGCTTTTCTTGAAATCTGTGGGGTTACTTCTTTCCATAGGCACTGCACTTGATTTACCAGTGTGTTCACTGAGTTGAGCTACAGGCTGCAGGGTGAGTTTGACGGAGGTGACAGTTGTGGAGAAAGAGATTTCCAATAATCTCTCCCTTTGGAAACTGTAGTTCATTATTCCCTTATACATTGTTAGGCATTGTGAGAAGCTGTGGTTGAAAATCACAGTTCTGAACGATAAGTATCCGTTGGTTTGGGATGCATGATGTTCTGGTTGGTAGAAGTAATATGTGTAGCAAAAATACTGGTTTGGGGCAAGACTGTTTCTAGTAAGTATAAATTTGCTTTCTTTAGAGCAATGTATTGTTAGGAGTAACTCTGCCTCCAACAATCCCGCAGGCTGCCTACACAGCCTAATTACTTATTCAGGTGACGCTATTGTTTGCAACAAGGAGTAAAAGGCAGGGATCATCTGTGCCAATTACCTGTGGAATTCAAGTCACATGTCCCCTTAAACCAGTTCTGGATTTGGCAGTGTTCAGGGAGCACAACATATACTTATCTTTGGGACAGGCTTGCTAGACACAGTTCCTCCCAGACTGTTCTTGAACCGCTTGCTACCTGGGCTTGTTCTTCACTGGTTACTTCAGTTCCCACCGTATTGAAGCTCCTGTGCAGGCTGTGTGCCTTTGCTGGAGCTCGGGAGGCTGCACAGCTGGATCACATCAATGGAGGGTGTCTCAGGAGGGGAGGAGAGATTCTTAACATCTCTACTTCTCAGGATCTGGCATGATAATGTCAGATGGTTACTAGTTAGGAGTTCAGGATTTTGCCGCTGGACTTCTGATTCTTGTCTTACATTTATATCTTTTCAGTGCAGTTCAGTTGTCTCATTTTATTTGTGATCACTAGCATGCTGCAATGCCTACAGATTGATTTTCCTTGGAAGATCTAGTTTGTGTTATTCTACTCCAAGTAGGTCACCTTGACTGAGGTGTTTGACACACTGTGTTGCCTTGAGCACCCAGACTTGATTTGTAATTCATAAATAGCAGAAGTGTAAGCTGCAGCTGAACCCCAGCTAGATTCAATGTTCAGTCTTTCAGCACCTTAAATCAAGCTCCTTCACTGGCTTGATACATCTGCAGGAGCTGCATTCCAGCAGTCCCTTGGTTCATGGCATTGCACTCCTGTGTGCTTGAGGAGGGGTGGGCATCTGAACTGAAACTGAGACCTGAATGGCTCCTTGCTTGCAGAGGCTGATGTGGCTGCTGGGATCTATCTGTGCTGTGATCTATATAATGAGCACAGTGTATGTACTGTGTGAAAACGAGATGCAGTTCAGGCAGCTTGTATCAAATTTCTGTGCTGGCAGGCAGAGTTTGGCTTAATGACTGTTATGTCAATATAAAACTATTACACTACTGGGCAGAGTTGAAGTCTTCATCTTATAAAAAAGTGGGGGTGTTTACATTTAGCTTAATGAGGGCCTGAATTTCCAGAATGCAGAATATTTATACTCAATATGTGATTTGTATAATATTCATCAAACCAAATTTTCATCAGCCAAAAAAAATATAATCTCTGGATTCTTAGGTCTGGTGTTAAGGATAAGGGTGGTGGGCTTAAAGAGCACTTAGCCACAGATCCCACATTTTAAGATTCACAATGCTTTACTCCTCCTGCCTGATACATAGATTAGAATACTATTTTTTTCCCCCACAAAAGAAACAAACAAATGGAAAACCTTTGGGAGCTCATAAAACAACTCATCCACGTTCCCTTTCTGCTCAGTTTTCTGTCATGTAAGAAAACCTTGCCTGAGTCCCAAGGAATTTATAGCTTTCTCTGAATTGAGACTTTAGTTAATAGTTAATGTGGAATTGCATTCCCTTTGTTAAACTTGGCAGTGATGGAATTTCCTGGTTGAGTGTTATATATGGCCAGTGAATTACTGATACATCCTCCACTATCTTTGGCAGAAGCCAAGGTTTTGGAGCAAAGTTGAGAAGGAATCATTGGTTGATCTTTAACACTTACCATTTAATGTGTAACTGCTCTGAACCTAGGTGCACTTGCCAGTTTTAAAAACCATCTGCATGGTTTTAAAATGGCCAAGAGTTGTGATTTGACCCCAGCTGGCAGCTAAGCACCACACAGACACTTGCTCACTGCCCCTGGTGGGATGGGGCAGACAATCAGGAAGGTAAAAGCGAGAAAACCTGTGAGCTGAGACGTAGGCAGTTTAGTAGGTAAAGCAAAAGCTGCACATGCAAGCAAAGCAAACCAAAGAATTCTTTTACCACATTCCATGGGAAAGCAGGTGTTCAGCCATCTCCAGGGAAGCAGGGCTCCAGCATGTGGAGCAGTGACATGGGAAGACAAACAGCATATTCTGAACCTTGTCCCTCCTTTCTTCTCCCAGCTTTACGTACTGAGCATGACTCCATATGGTCTGGGATATATCCCTGTGGTCTCTTGAGGTCAGCTTTCCTGGCTGTGCTCCTCCCAACTTCTTGTGCATTCCCAGCCTCCTAACTGGTGGGCTGGGAGGCAGAAAAGTGTAATTCCTGCTCAACAACAGTGAGAACGTCCCTGTGTTGTCAGCACTTTTCAGCACAAATCCCAAACACATCTCCCTGCCAGCTACTGTGAGGAAAGTGAACTCTACCCCAGCCAGCGCCAGCACACGAGATATGCTTGTGCCTAGGGAGCAAGGTGACGTTGCAGGAGCAAGGTCCTGCAGTGATCTACTGTGCTCTACTTGATCACCTTGTCTTAAAAATACCATTTGAATGCAGTTCTGTTTTCACTTCTTTTCAGTAAAGATTTTTTTTTAATGTAAATTGAGAAATTGGAAATACTGCCTGAAGGAAACTTTCATATGAAAAAAAACCTTTGTTCCTCAGTTTCTGCTTGAAGAGTGAGGAACAGACTTTGCTAGAGGATTTGCTTTTTACCACACTTCTGAAGAATTGTACAAACTCCAAGAGAAGCACAGTTTTGGTTTTTTTCATAGTGTACTTAGTGCACTTTATGTCTCCAGCAAGAAAAATGAGTAACAAACTGGAAAACAAAAGAAAGAGTAAGGTAAGTTTTAAAATGATGAAGTTATTTGCAGTGATTTAGTGCAAAGTGCCAGGTATTTGGGGAGGAACAGCTGACAATTTTAGTTAGCTTATGGGAGGGAACAAATAAGAAACTTGTTCACAGTATGAGGAAAATGAAAAACGTAGTAGTGACATTTTAAAGTGAGGTATACAAAATATTTAGGACTTGCATTACTATAATTACAGTGACATGACAGATTTCATCTTGTGATGGTGAGGGGAGAAAGAAATGTATTGTCAAATTTTAGCAGTCCAAATATGGCAGTTAAATTATTTGTGTGTCTGTAAATCTACTTCAGAATGCAGTTCAGCAGCACTTAACTCAGCTAGATTTGGAGAGGTCTATGCAGCCTCTGTACTATGTGGAATATTTGTCATAAAATCACAGAATGGTTTGGGTTGGAAGAGAACTTTAAGGTCATCTGTTTTTGACTCCCTGCCCTGAGCAGGGACACCTTCCATGGACCATGTGGCTCAAAGCCCAGCCAACCTGGCCTTGAAAACTTATGGAGTAATGGAGTTTCTCCAGTTCTCTGGGCAGCCTGTTCCTGAATTAGCCCAGCCCACACCCAGGCCATTGCTCTTGGCCTTACTGCATTTCCTGAGGTTCCTTTCTTCCATTTATTTCTATACTTAAAGTATATGTTGTATTTTACACCACTTCTGATAAATACAAAGCTATATTCACTAAAAAAAAAAAAAAAGAATATTTGTGAAATAGAAGTTTCTCTGAGGAATGTAGTTGTGTTGCACAAAATGACATGTCAGTTGTGTGTTATCCAGCACAGGGAAAAGGGCAATGTGTGTAGAAAGTAAGTAAAGCATAGAAAGAAGTTTTATAAAGATAGTTTTTTCAGGTTCTGTGAGTTCTCTTTTGCAGTTGGGCTTCTCCTTTGTTGACAGCTTACTGTATTTGTATAGGTGTGGCATCAGCACTAGGTTCATATTTCACTGGAGAAATATGAGAACACCATCCTGTTTCTTTACCCTCTTATCCTAACTTCAAAGCAAACGCTCAGGAAG